CGCCAACGGCGCTCCGTCCTCGGGCGTGGCCACTCGCCCCCCGCGAAAGGGCATAGGTTTGGGTTCTCACCCGCTCTCCTTCGGCGGCCGCGGTCTGCTCCACCCGCTCTCCTTCGGCGGCCGCGGTCTGCTCCACCCGCTGTCTCTCGGCGGCCGCGACCCGCACGACCACGTAGAGATCCACAACGCCAGCACGACGACTATCCTTCTTGCCCACCACCCCGGGGTATCTCGTCTTCGTTTCCGCGTCTCCACCGACCTCGTCGCTGCCTGAGCTGGCCGCCGGTGCGCGCGTCGATGCCCCGCCGGAGGCAGCTGCGGGGTGGGCAGCCGCGACCTCCCGCGTCTCTTGCGCCGACGACTGCAACGGCGGTGCTCGGGGTCGCGCGGGGCGAGCCGGCGCTGCGTATGGGCGTGGGACGGCGGCGGGGCCCGGTGCACACGCGGTCGACCCGTTTGGCGGCTGGCCGACGTGCGCAGCGAGCACCTCGGGCACGAGCTTCTCCAACTCGAGCCGGATGAAGCTCCTCAAGTGCGGATCGCCGTAGTAGACGCGGGTAGGTTCCGGGGGATGCCCGGGGGCAGGGCCGGGCGGAGGGCAGGGGGCAGGCGGAGGGCCGGGACGGACGGCGGATGGACGGTGGGAGGACGGGGGTATGGCGTTCTGGCGACCCAAACCCTCCCCCTCGCCGCATGCACCCACCCGATGAGTGCCCTCCGAAGCCGCACCCCCCTCCGCCGGAGGCGCCTCGCATCCGGCCCCCCTTGTCCCGCTGCCCTCCGCGCCGGCCCCCCCTGCCTCGCCGCCATCTGCAGCGCGCCACCATGCCTCGCCGCCCTCCGCACCGCCCCCCTGTGCCTCGCCCCTCCCTCCACTCGACTGGCCACGTTCCCACGTCGGCTGCGCCCACTCCATGGCCGCGGGGCTGCTGCACCATCGCCCTCCCGCGCCCGCCGCCGCCGCGCCTTCCGCTCGCGGGTGTGCCTCCGCACCGCCACCGGCCGAGTCGTGCACGCCGGTGCGGCCGCGCATTCCGCCCGCCTCTGCTCCGACCGCCTCCGCCGCCGCACGATCGTTCGCCATGTCGGCCCCTGCTAACGCCTCCCTGCAGCGCCGTCCCCCTGCATTCCCCTCCCCCCCGTCTCCCTCCGTGCATCCGCCGCCCCCCCGTGCCGGGTCTAGCCCCTCCGCACATGGCACACCGCCCGACCCAGCGCCCTCTCCACCCTCCCCCTCCTCGTGCACTCGCTCCACCCCCGCATACGTGCCCCCCCGACCACCCATTTCCGCCAGCGCCTCGCTTTCCGCCTGTTGCGCCGGTTCCTCCAGGACGGTAGCCTCCAGCACTCCACTGCTGCCGTCCGTGCTGCTCGCGTCGGCTCCCACCGCCTCCGCTGTCGCACGATCACGTGTATCCCCGCCGCACGTCCCGTCCCTCGTCGCAACACCAGTTGCTGCCTGCTGCATGGCTGCTGCGCGCTCGAGTTCTCGATTCATGGCCCGCGTGAAACGCACTTTCGTCCACCTCTTGAGTTCCTCGGCCGTATCGATGTCTCTCCCCCCGCCCCTCCCCCTGCCTGCCTGCCTGCTGCAAGGCTGATGCAAGGCTGCTGCTCTTGAACCAGCAGCTCGATCCGTGGCCCGCGTCGAAAGCGCTTCCGCCGACCTATCTGAATTTTCGGCCCCATCCATGTTGTTCACGCCTTCTTCGCCGCCCGTAGTAGTGTCGCTTGGCGCGCTTTCCGTGTCATCCCCCGCACGAGCCGACACTCCTTCGGGCTCGCTGGACTCGGCCGCACGCGTTGCGTTTGCTTTCTTCCGAGGGCCGGCGGCAACGGTCACGCTCCCACGCTTTCTCCCGCCGCTCCTAACACCGCCCCTGCCCCCCCTTACACCACTCCCTCTCCCTCCCCTTCTCGCTCCCCCTCGGCCTCCTCCATCCCCTCGTCCCGCCCTGCCTCCACCGTGTCCCCCATCCATGTTGTTCACGCCTTCTTCGCCGCCCGTAGTAGTGTCGCTTGGCGCGCTTTCCGTGTCATCACCTGCACGAGCCGACACTCCTTCGGGCTCGCTGGACTCGGCCGCACGCGTTGCGTTTGCTCTCCGCCGAGGGCCGGCGGCAACGGTCACGCTCCCACGCTTTCTCCCGCCGCTCGCTGTATGCGTCTCGCTCCGCAATCCAGTCGTGGCGGTTCGGCTGCGAGTTGTGGGCGCCATTTACAGCTTGCGATCTGCAAACACACGAGGACACGGACGAGATGGGATAAGGGACGGTACGCGCATGGTCGCACGCCTATGCTCATCCACATTTGACGGTGTTACTATCTTCGCAGCTTTCGCGAAGCGCCATCGCATCAGGGGCACATCTCCGCCCATACTCTTTTACCACTTATCAGAGACTACGACGCGTCCCTTCGTGCAAGGGCTGCGTCGTTTGCAATTGTGGCGCACGAGCCCGCTAAACGAGTCGTTTACGGGCATGGCAGGGCAGCTTGATGGCGTTTGTGACCACGGGATCAGTCGCGATCGACAAGAATGCAAGCGAAAAACGTCTCGCACCTATCGAGACGGGAAGCGCGTAACGGGCGGGGAGGGTCGCGGAACACTCTTAGCAACGGTCATCAACAGGGTCGGGAGCAGGACGTACATACAACGAGTGGAGTGGAATGTGTGCTTCTCTCGCAGCTTTGGAGCGCACGCCGCGTAGGTGCCTGAATAACGAATTCGTTTAGGTTCTGCGCTTTCAGGAAAGGAGGGAACTAATACAGGGAAATGAATGCTGAACGCCAGTGACTCTGCTTGTGTTGGGCATGGCTCTTCGCAATTCTCCTTGGTGTTTTGGCGGAAACGACTTCGGGCGATGGGAAAATGTACAGCGCGCCCACACATTTGTTGATCTGACAATTCGCTGTGGTCAACGCGCGAAATGGTTGGCTTGCTGGAAGTCCCTATTGGTCAATCGCAGGGCGCATTCGTATATCTTGTCAGACGTCATGTCATCGCCCCTTAGTCATGACAATTCAAAGCCTCGTTTTTATGCAGGCCAAACCGTTTGGGCCTTCCGAACCTCCAAACTGTGTTGACCTGACGTCTGACACGAGAACGAATGGCCCCTCACACTGTCGAAGGTCTTCGCACCGCATCCCCCCTGCGCGATCCGGCGATTGAAGGTTTAGGTTATGTCCTTCATGGGGTGTTCGACGTTTCTTTTTTCTCGAACTGTATAATGTCTACAAAGCAATAACATCTGGACCGAACAAGTTTATATTGATGTTGGAGCAACGATTTTGTTCCTTTCGGCGTTCACCGACACATGCAGTGACTGGCCTCCGTACACTATGGTTTCATGACGTGGAACTGGCGCACGGTCCCGCAAACCAAAACAATACAAAAAATAAACTCTTCATGAGGAAACGCCATGTAAACGATCTGTGTGCGATCGGGCAGTGGGTTTGACAGCAACCTGCTCCGCGATACCGTCCAATTCCAACGGGCGGTCGATCACCCTAATATTCTATTTTTCGTGACCAGATGTGTAGAGGGCAGTTACGAAGTCTACCTTGTGTCAGTAAAGCTCCAGTGGCAAAACTAAAACCCACTCGGATGACAAGCCATTTGGGAAGCATCAACCGTAAACACCATGCCTCATGGTGCTTAGGGTTGATGCCCTTTATGTGGCATGCCTTCCAAACAAGTATTTTTTTTCTTTTTGTCCCGAACAGCACTTCTGTGTTGGACCTCGACGAAACAATTTTACATCCCTTAAAAAAAAAATGTAAGATTATGTTTTTTGGACTTAAGAAGGGAAACTTCGAAGTCATATGCCCCAAGGTAATCAACGCGATCGCGAAGCAACCACCGCCGCCAAAACCACTGCCGAAAGGAATTGGAAACATACAAACAGGGGGATTAGGGTACATTCCTACCTCGTGTCTGACATCAGGTCATCCGTCCTTAGAAGCTCGGAAGACCCGAAGTGGTTCGAAATAGGGGCAAATCAACATTGAGAAGAGACAAATCAGAGACTAAGGGCGGATGACCTGATGTCAGACCCGCCATAGGAATCACCCTTAGTCATTTCCTCGCGCTAAGCGCGTGGAACGTCTAGGGGGTTTGTTCCGCACTCCCAGAACGAGGCGCCACAATTGTAGACCTGCTGACGTGCCCGCGCGACAAGCACTCGAAATACAGGAGTGCACAGCAGCTACCACCATTATCGTAGTGCACTAACTCGCACGACACTGCAGCAGCTACCACCATAATCGTGGTAGCTTCGTCCCCGCCCACTACTTATCGCACGCAGAAGGCGAAAAGCCCGCGCTTGTTCATAATAAATGTAGGGCCTCAAATGCAGGGCATAGATTAGGGTACAAGCACGAATCTAGTCGATATGATCCAGCGCTAAGAAATAGTCGGACCCGCGCGACAGGTTATGCAGCATCACGCCATGCTGTCCCCGCCAGTATTACGCCATACCAGCAACTCGTCACCGTGTCCCGCTGTGATCACAAAGTCGTAGGGATCTTGCTACCGCCACACTCTCTTGCGACGCCTTCGCCGTGCGACGCCTTCGCAGCAATAAGGACAAAGGTCCCAGCCTCCACCCCAGTCGCATGTTGTGGCAGTCGTATCTTCGCTCCCTCACAGGCGGTGGCAACGGCAGCACTGCTCTTCTCCCTAAGAGCCTCAAGAATCGACAATCAACACATGCAGGCTCACTCACGTGCTGGTGCTGGCGCAGCAGCAGTCGCATGTTGTAGCAGTCGTATCTTCGCTCCCTCACAGGCGGTGGCAACGGCAGCACTGCTCTTCTCCCTAAGAGCCTCAAGAATCGACAATCAACACATGCAGGCTCACTCACGTGCTGGTGCTGGCGCAGCAGCAGTCGCATGTTGTGGCAGTCGTATCTTCGCTCCCTCACAGGCGGTGGCAACGGCAGCACTGCTCTTCTCCCTTAGAGCCTCAAGAATCGACAATCAACACATGCAGGCTCACTCACGTGCTGGTGCTGGCGCAGCAGCAAGCGCATGTTGTGGCAGTCGTAGTTTTTCTCCCTCACAGGCAGTGGCAGGGGCAGCACAGCCCCCTCACGGTTATCCCCACAGCTGCCCACACGTGACACAGATAGGCAGGGAACAATGGCTTTGGAACACTGTAACATTGTAACAGGTTAACTTTCAAGTTGACTCAAAAGTCACCTCCATCACAGGCGGTGGCAGCGGCAGCACTGCTCCTTCTCGGTTATCCCCACAGCTGCCCACACGCAATATGAATCAATGGCATTGTAGCATTGTAACAAGGTGACTTTTGAGTCGACTCACAATTAACCTCCCCTCACAGGCGGTGCAACGGGAGCACCCCCTCCTGCAGTTATTCTCACAGGTACACTTGTGCGAAGCAAAAGTGCACTAAGATCACACAGACTGACTGAGCATGGAACATAGTCGATCCGTACAGTGAAATGGGAGGGCGAGGAGGGTTGAGGTCGACCACTCACTCTACCCACCAGTTGCGGCACAGGTCTGGGTCGCACTCCCTAGACGCAGCAAAGCGGGGGGATGCCACATCCCCTCAACACTCGCTCTTCCCAGCAGTATTGATCGGGACCAGTCAAATAAATTAACGGAAGGGGGAGAAAGGACGACCACTCGCTCGACCCAGCAGTTGTGGCACAGGTGACTTTTGAGTCGACTCAAAAGGTGACTTTTGACTTTTGAGTCGACTCAAAAGTCACCTCGTATTGATCGGGACCAGTCAAATTAATTAATGGAAGAGGGAGAAAAGACGACCACTCACTCTACCCAGCAGTTGCGGCACAGGTCTGGGTCGCACTCCCTAACAACACTATAGCAGTGTGACAGTGACTATTACTCTCAAAGACGCAAAAGGGAAGAGGGGAAAGCACTCACTCTACCCAGCAGTTCCGGCACAGGTCAGGGTCGCACTCCCTGGACGCAGCAAAGCAGGGGCAGAGGCGCGAAGAGCAGTGGCTCTTGGCACAGTTGCAGCCTCGGAAGCGGTTCTTGCACGCTTGGGCACACCTGGGAACAAGGAGAATTCAACGGGGAATGGCACATGAGGGGTGAGGTGAGGCGCGAAGAGCAGTGGCTCTTGGCACAGTTACAGCCTCGGAAGCGATTCTTGCACGCTTGGGCACACCTGGGAACAAGGAGAATGCAACGGGGAATGGCACATGAGGGGTGAGGTGAGGCGCGAAGAGCAGTGGCTCTTGGCACAGTTGCAGCCCCGAAAGCGGTTCTTGCATGCCTGCGCACAGCTGGAGATGGGGGAAGGAAACGGCAAACACAGGAGGTATTTGGAAGGATTTAGGGATGGGTGGGCTGAGGTGCGACGAGCAGTGGCTCTTGGCACAGTTGCAGCCTCTGAAGTGGTTCTTGCACGCCTGGGGCATACCTGGAGATGCGGCAAGCATAAGCGGCATTAGAAGGGGATTAGGGGTGGGTGGGTTGCGGTTAGAAGAACAGCAGTGGCTCTTGGCACAGTTGCAGCCCCTGAAACGGTTCTTGCAAGCCTGGGCACATCTGTGATAGGGGAAAATGGGGGTAGGGTTACAAAAGAAGACAAGAACAGAGCAATGGTGCAAGAGCAGGTAGTGAAACGATGGTGGAAGGGGAAAAGCAAGTGAGCCTTCTCTTGTGACACTTCAAAAGATGGAGGTAGGAGTACGAACGGGAAGACAACAACAACAACAGAGCAATGACACACGAGCAGGTAACAGTAGGACGGTGTGGAAGGGGTTGACTTTTGAGTCGACTCAAAAAAGTTGACTTTTGACTTTTGAGTCAACTCAAAAGAGTTGACTTTTGACGTTTGAGTCGACTCAAAAGTCAACACGAGCAGGTAACAGTAGGACGGTGTGGAAGGGGAGCAGCAAGCGAGCCTGCTCATGAGGCAGAGAGGTGAATTCATGGGGAGAAGAGAAGGTGGGTATCAAGAAGAAAGGGCGAGAGTGGAAGGAAGGCTCATTCACTCACCCGCAGTATTTCTCGCAGAAGCATCCCCTCATGATGCATTCGCAGGTGGCCTTTGCGCATGGACCCTTGCAGCTGCACGGCTCGTACTGACGCTGCGAGAGGGGTAGGGAGTGAGGGAGAGAGGGGGGGGAGGAGAATAGGAGGGGAGGAGGGAGCGAGGAGAGGAAGAGAACTGAGCGAACGGGAGGGAAAAGGAAGAGGTGAACACCACGGGCTGTCCGCTACTGCTGGGTGTGGGGTTCACTTCCTCCCTTCCTGCGCCACTTGTTGTGGTGGCCCCACTGTGCCTGCACCAGCCTCCTCCTCGCCTTGACACTGCTTTCAGCCTCTGTCTGCACCACCACGGCCTGCCCCGCCCCTCCCTTCTTGCCCCCACACCCCTTCGTGGCCCTGCACCTGCACCTCTTCAGTCCTTCCTTACCTCCTTGGAAGCTTCGGCTTTCAGTCTCTGCACCACCACGGCCTGCCCTGCCACTCCCTTCTTGCCCCCACACCCTTTCTTGACCCGTACTTTCACCTCTTCACTGCATCCTTACCTCCTTCGAGGCTTCTGCTTTCAGCCTCTGCACCACCACGGCCTGCCCTGCCACTCCCTTCCGCCGTCCCTTGTTGAACCCCCACGGCGCCTGCACCAGACGCCTCCTCGCCTTGGCAGTGCGCCGGCGATGCCGGCCCATCTGGAAATGGTGTGGGGGAAGGGCATGGGACCGGGAGGGGGGGTGGGGGGAAGGGAAGGGCTGCAAGAGATGAAAGGAAGGAATTCAGCAATGCTTCCTTCCTTGGCTCTGCGTCTGCACCAGCCGCCTCCTCGCCTTGGCCGTGCGGCGGCGGTGCCGACCCATCTGTGTGTAAATGGGGGGGTGAGTGTGGCGGGAAGGAGGTGCGGGGTGGGGGGGGGGGGGGGGGGGGGGGGGGGGGGGGGGGGGGGGGGGGGGGGGGGGGGGGTTGAGGGTGCATCATATCATAACACACTGCGTCTGCACCAGCCGCCTCCTCGCCTTGGCCGTGCGGCGGCGGTGCCGCCCCATCTGAAGTGTGTTATAAGGAACATCACAGAAAGGAAACGATGAAGGGGGTGAAGACTCCCTCTTGAGGCGCCTCATATTTCAACGCACTGTGCCTGCACCAACCGCCTCCCTGTCTTGGAAGTGCGGCGGTGATGCCGACCCATCTGTGTTGTACATTCAGGAGGTGGGTGCGGGGGGAAGGAGGTGTGGGGGGGAGGAAGGGTTGCATCATATTACAACACGCTGTGCCCGCACCGGTCGCCCCCTCGCCTCTGCTCTGTGCCTGCACCGGTCGCCCCCTCGCCTTGGCAGTGCGCCAGCACACAGCTGCTTGAGCCGAAAAAAGGGGGAGAGAGGGGGGGCAAATGGGCAGGAAGGTCGTACCGGCGTGGGGGTTTCTTCAGGAATGACTCCCCCCTCCTGCCCCAACAAGCAGTGTGCGATCTGGGAGCACGTCTTGAGGTGAGCCAGCACTGTTCTCGCCAGCACACAGCTGCTGGCGCCAAATATCCGCACTCCCTTGCTCAGTAGCTCCCTCTCCAACGCACTCCACTCCTGCTGACCGCACTGCTGCTCCTGCTCCTCCTGCTGCTGCTCCTGCTGCTGCTGCTGCTGCTGCTGCCCCTGCTTCTCCTCGTCTGACCTTCTTTCCTCAGGTGTCCACTCTTTTTCTCCTTCCCCACCTTCATTCCCCTCTCTCCCGTCCTTTCCTTGCTTCCCTTCCATCCCTTCCTTTTCTTCCTTCCTTTCCTCCTCTTCTTCCAGATTCCTCACCCTCTCTCTCCTGTCTATTAAATCTTTCACCTCCCCTTTCTTCCCCACCCCATCCCCACCCCCATTCCCGCCCCCATCCACATCGGCAGTCATATTCACATCACCAGTCACCAGCACATCCTCTTTACAAGCCTCCCCATCACTAGCATCACCCTCTTCCTCAGAACTAATCTCCAACACCGAAGGGCTGACTTCCCTCTCACCCTTCCCCCTCTCACCTTCCTCCTTGTCCCCCTTCCCTCTCCTCCTCTCACCTCCTTCTCCCTCATGCCTTCTCACCCCCCTTCCCCTTCCACTTCCTCCACCTCTCCCCGCCATCCCACGTCCTCGACCCTTCCCCCTTCCCCTCCCCTTCGTACCATCCCTCCCCATGCCCTGACTACTTCCCTCCCCAGCCCCTCCCCTAGTGTATACTCTTCCTTTAGCACGCACATCCTCCTCTCCCTCTTCTTCTCCTGCCTCCTCCTCCATTTCCTCTTCCTTCACTCTCCCTCCCTCCTTACATCCCTCCTTCTCCTCCTCACCGTCCTCCTCTTCCATTGTCTCCGCTTCTCCTTCAGCATTCTCCTCCTCACTCTTCCCCTCTTCCTCCTCCTCACTCTCCTCCCCAACACTGTCTGATAATTCGACCTCCTCCTCCTCCTCATCCTCCAGTTTCACGAAACCAACAATCTGCTTCCCCTTTTTCTTGCCTTTTGCCTTGGTTTTCGCTGCTTTCTCCTCTGCTGCTTGCATTCGAGCCAGCTTCAGGGCCACAAGGGCAGGCACCTGCAACAAGGCCAACGCAAAAGCCAAAGCAAAGGGTAAGAATGAGACCAAGATGAGCTTTTGAGTGATTCAAAAGAAGTACAAAAACAAAAAAAGGGACGGCGTAAAGGAGGTCGATAAAGTCACTCACATGCATGAAGCAAAGGGGACCGCACGGCTGAGCAGGCATGGGCGACTTGCCTACGTCTGTGGACTCCAGTGGTGGCTGCTGGTCCGTCTGCAAAGGGGAAGAGGGGAAAAGGGAGGGGGGAAAGGGGAGGGTTAGACCCATGGACTCATTGACGTGTCTGTGGTTGTGTTTGTGTCTGCGGTTGTGTTTGTGTCTGTGGTTGCGTTTGTGTCTGTGGTTGTGTTTGTGTCTGTGGTTGTGTTTGTGTTTGTTGCTGTATCGTTTTTTGTCAAGCCAGCTCAACTGCCGACTTATGAATCGACTCAAAAGTCGATTACGGGAGGGGGAGAGTGGGGAAGAAAGAAAAGCACACACACACACACGCGCACACACACACACACACACACACACACACACACACACACACACAAAAACAAACAAACAAACAAACAAAAACAACAGCAACTCAAGAATTGACCAAGGGTGACTCAAACCAACTCAACTCACAGGCACCACTGGCTCGTCAACTGTTCCGTGTCTCTTGCAATGCTTTTTCAAATTGACTCATGATTTGACTTACAAGTCGACAACTCAAAGTGACTCAAACAAACTCAACTCACAGGCACCACGGGCTCATCGACGGTTCCGTGTGTCTTGCAATCAAAGATCTGCATAAGAAGGTGGAAGGAAGTTGGGGGATGGGAGGGGGAGGGAGGATGGCGGGGGAGGTGGGGAGGTGGAGGTGGGGTGGGGAGAGAGGGATTTGGGTCTTGCACCCTATTGCATGCAACCACTCTTGCTCAAGAGTTACGGGAGCAGGACGCCAAACAAGGGGGTATACGGGAGCGGGGTTTGGTAATGGGTAGAACGGCTGGAAATGGGATTATCCGACAGACTGGCTCCCCACACACACTCACTCACTCACTTATTCTGCACTCAAACTGCCCACGCAACACCCGCCTCATGTCCTAACCTCACACACGCACATAGCCACTCACTCCCTCACTCCCTCCCCCACTCGCTCTCTCACTCACGAGGCATCTACGGCAGAAGAGGTGGTCCCACGAGTCCATGGCTTGGCTCCCTCCAGGTCCTCAAACTGCCCCAGCAGCACCTTCCGTGCTGTGTTCTCTCACTCTCTCACCCTTGAACGGTCCTTATCATTGAGTGTAATGAACAATATAGCAAGAAGACTCAGAAGGCATCTACGACAGAAGAGGTGGTCCCACGAGTCCATGGCTCCCTCCAGATCCTCAAACTGCCCAAGAAGCACCCCGCTCGTGCCCTCACTATCTCGCTCGCTCACTCACTCACCCACTCACTCTCTCTCCCTCACCCAATCTCTCGCTCACTCTCTCACTCTCACAGACTCACGAGGCATCGGCGGCAGAAGAGGTGGTCCCACGAGTCCATGGCTCCCTCCAGGTCCTCAAACTGCCCCAGAAGCACCTGCCGTGTGCTCTCACACACACCACCACCCGAGCCTGACCCACTCGGTTCGATGACACCACCTGAACCTGACCCAGCTGTTTCGTTTGCATTAGCACCAGCGGTCGGAGAATCAGCAGCAGCAACACCGGTAGGATTTGCGGCAGGCATTGCAGCAGGGATTGCGGCAGCGGAATCAGCTGCAAATGAAGCACCAGCAGCAGAAGATTCTGGAGAACCCATGTTCGTGTCTCGGCCTATGACAGCAGTAGGAGCAGCAGCATTGTCGCCAGCACCAGCATCATCGGCAGCACCAGCAGTGGCACAAGCACCAGGGAAAGCAGCATTGGTAGCAGGCACAGCATTTGCAGTAACATCATTCCTGGGAGATACAGAAACAGCAGAATCGGCACGTGCAACACATCGTGAAGCCACTCCTGCTGCTCCTGCTCCTGCGCGCATTTCTGCAGCTGATTCGGCTGGTTTGTTTGGCACTGAGATCGACAGCCGTTCAACTGCTGCCAGCAACACTGGCCTTCCTACCCCATCCAGAGTTGTCTCATCACCCATATCGACTTGCATAGGACAGGCACAGTTTTCCCCATCAACTTGCATACGATTCGACCCCTCTCCCCTATCCACTTGCATTCGAATCGACCCTTCTCCCCTATCCACTTGCATTCGAATCGACCCTTCTCCCCTATCCACTTGCATGGGATCGCTGCCCTGCTGCCCTTCACCCCTGCCGCTTGCCTCCCCTGCAGTTGACTCCTGCTGCTGTGTGCCCTGCTGCTGTGTTTCCTGCGGCTTTGACCACTGTTGCTGCTGTTGCATTGACTGCTCCTGCACAACAGCCCCTCTCTCTGAGCGCGCATCTCTTTGCCCATGTGTCCCCTGCCACCAGCAGGTGGCATGAGGCGGCGTTGCCAGAGGGAACTGCACAGTCTCAAGACTTCTCCAAATCACCTCCATACCCACACTGCCGCTCTCACAATCCAATGCTGCTCCTGCCCCTGCTGCTCCTGCTCCTGCTCCTGCTCCTGCTGCTCCTGCTCCTGCTGCTCCTGCCGTTTCTGCTCCTCCTGCCGTTTCTGCATCCGCAGCTGCTGTTTCTGCCACGGCTGCTCCTCCTGCTCCTGTTCCTGCATCTGCTGCTCCCACTTGTGCCTCTGCTGCTGGCGCTTCTGCAGCGCCTGCTTCGGCTGCTTGAACTCCTGCTGTGATTGCCCCTGCTGTTGACCCTCCCGCACTCGCTTCACCTGGTGCCCCTCGTGGTCCTGCCCCCTCCTGCACCCGGTCACGCTCACCTTCTCTTTTCTCCTCCTCAGCAACCCCATCCTTCTTCTTCTGCTTCTCGAGAAGGGCCTGAATCTCTTGGTACTGCGCCTTCAGTTCCGTGTGACGCATCTGGGTAGGGTAGCAGCAGGGAGGACATGGAAGGCGGGTAGAAGGAAGGAGGGGGGGATGAGAGGGACATTGTCTTCACTGCTTCTCAAGAAAAGACTGAATCTCTTGGTACTGCGCTTTCAGCTCCGTGTGACGCATCTGGGGAAGCAGGGAGGGCAAGGAAGGGGAGAACGAGGGCATGAAGGGGGGGTGGGCTGGGCAAGACATTGCCTTGACTGTAGTGCAGATGTCTGCTTCTTGAGAAGCGACTGAATCTCTTTGGTACTGCGCCTTCAGCTCTGTGTGTGATGCATCTGGGGTAGAGGAGGAGACAGAAGAACCACACCGAAATAACGAGGAATTGAGAGAGAGCATTAGAGGCTCTTTTGAAGAGGGAACAGCAGAGGGCAGAGGGCAAGAGGCAGAGGGCAGTGGTCACAGGGCTAAACCCTTCTCCTTTCCTCTTGCTCTCTCCCAGGCCGAAACCGGAAACACACCCTGAAAAGAAAATCAAAATCGAGAAGGATACTCACGTGAACCTGTTCTGCCTGAGCATTGAGGGAGGAAGCGAGATGCTCAGTGATGATGCCTGTGTGGCCGTGCTGCTGGATGGCTTTTGAGGCACAACAAAAGAGAAAAGAAGACTCACGTGAACCTGTTCTGCCTGGGCATTGAGGGAGGAAGCGAGATGCTCAATGACGATGCCTGTGCGTGAACAAGTGCCCTCTGACGATGGAAGACGTCTCCAAAAAACACTTCTTCCTACACGTGCCCAGTGACAATGCCTGTGTGGCCGTGCTGCTGGATGGCTTTTGAGGCGCATCAAAAGACGAAAAGAAGACTCACGTGAACCTGCTCTGCTTGCGCATTGAGGGAGGAAGCGAGGTGCTCAATCACAATCCCAGAATCACCGTGCTGCTGGATGGTCCTCCTGCAGGCAGCAAGAGGAGGTGTGGAATTGGGTGCAGTGCGGTGGAGTGGGAGTTGAGGGAAGAAGCGAGGTGCTCAATCACAATCCCAGAATCACCATGCTGCTGTATGGTCCTCCTGCAGGCAGCAGTGGGAAGGGATTGGTAACGGTGGAGTGGGTTGGACTGAGGTGGAGTGATGGGACGAGATGCTCAAGGAACAGCCAGACACAGCAGAGGGACGGGGATTTGGGTGCGGTGGAGCTTGGTGGAGTGAGGTGCACTCACCATATGAGTGCGTCCTGCACGGCACTGAAGTCCTTGAGCTGGCTGCTGCTGGGCTGGCCCTCGTTGTGCCCCTTGTTCGTACTACCTGCCACTACCCAAAGACATGCAGCTCCTCTCACCCCACCCACTCTCTCTCCTCATCATATGAGTGCGTCCTGCACGGCACTGAAGTCCTTGAGCTGGCTGCTGCTGGCCGGATCATTATTAAATCCCCTTCTGGTAACCGCACCTGCACACTCCCTCACCATATGAGGGCGTCCTGCACGGCACTGAAGTCCTTGAGCAGGCTGCTGCTGGGCTGGCCCTCGTCCTCCGACTCGCTGCACACAGTCGTCTCCTCCTTCTCTGCATCGTAGTACAGGCGCCTCCTCCCCACTAGTGATTGCTCGTCTGGAATCTGCTCATTCCTGTGGTGTGAGGGAGGGGTGCGAAAGGCAAGCACCCACAGAGGCATCTCTAAGACTCGCTGCACACAGTCGTCTCCTCCTTCTCTGCATCGTAGTACAAGCGCCTCCGCCCCACTAGTGATTGCTCATCCGGGATCTGCTCGTTCCTGTGGGTGTGGGGGTGGGTGAGAGACGGGCGTAAAAAGCAAGGGGCCTCATCCTCCGACTCGCTGCACACAGTCGTCTCCTCCTCCTCTGCATCGTAGTACAGGCGCCTTCTCCCCACTAGCGACTGCTCGTCTGGAATCTGCTCGTTCCTGTGGTGTGAGGTGGGATCGGCGTGGGGGAGGGGCATGAAAGGCGGGGCATAGATGGCTGCTGGGCTGGCCTTCATCCTCCGACTCGCTGCACACAGTCGTCCTCCTTCTCTGCGTCGTAGTACCGCCGCCTCCTCCCCACTAGCGACTTCTCGTCCGGGATCTGCTCGTTCCTGTGCCATGTGCGTGAACAGCAGGAGAGGAACAAGTGAACAGTGCATGGCATGAAAAATCCGACTCGCTGCACACAGTCGTCTCCTCCTTCTCTGCATCGTAGTACAGGCGCCTCCTGCCCACCAAGGACTGCTCATCCGGGATCTGCTCGTTCCTGTGGGTGGGGGGCGGGGTGGGAGACAGGCGCAAAAAGCAAGGGCCCTCCTCCTCCGACTCGCTGCACACAGTCGTCTCCTCCTCCTCTGCATCGTAGTACAGGCGCCTCCGCCCCACCAGTGATTGCTCGTCTGGAATCTGCTCGTTCCTGTGTGTGTGGAGGGGGGTAGGGTGGGGTGCGGTCGTGAGAGGCGAGGATCCTCATCCTCTGACAGCCGTGTCCTCCTTCTCCGCATCGTAGAACAGCCTCCTCCTCCCCACCTGTGGATGGGTTGAGAGGGGAAGAAGGGTAGGGTGGAAGAAAGGAGCACCGGGTCAACAAGTGAGCAAGGGAGAATGAGGAACAGAGTAATAGTTTCCGCCCTCTCACCCCCAACCAGACCAGAGCTCCACCTGCAATTTCACTCAACTCACTTGGCGAGGAAGACCCAGGTGGTGAAGCTAGGCACGTTCTGCACTGCACTAGCCCGGCCGACTCACCCCCAACAAGACTGAACAACCACCTGCTTTCTCTCCCCAAACTCACCTGGCGAGGAAGATCCAGGTGGTGAAGCTAGGCACGTTCTGCACTGCGGCCATCTTGATGGGATTCGTCCGAGGCTACCACCACCTCAGCAGCACCCCTCTGAACCGTAACCAACCCACCACATCACCTCGTTCTTCCCAGACTCACTTGGCGAGGAAGATCCAGGAGATGAAGCTAGGCACGTTCTGTCAAACCACAATCGTATCAGGCCAGCCCAGCTCAGCCCTCTCACCCCAAACAAGACCAGCCCAGCACATCGTGTCATTATTCCCAGACTCACTTAGCAAGGAAGATCCAGGTGGTGAAGCTAGGCACGTTCTGCACTAATGCCATCTTGATGGGATTCGTCCGAGGGGCTGCCACCACCTCACCACCACCACCACCACCCCTTCCTCCGCCACCCCCTCCTGCACCCCCTCCTGCACCCCCTCCTGCACCGCTTCCTGCACCGCCTCCCGCACCCCCCACTCCACTCCCCGCTGCATTCCCCCCTGTATTCCCCCCTGTATTCCCCCCTGCCAACCCCCCTGCTCCTGCTCCTGCTGCTACTGCTCCCCATGCTCTTTCTCCCCCTCGTTCCCCCGTCATTCCATTCGCTTTCAGTACTGCTGAAATTGCACCCCAACCTCCCGCCCCCGGACCTGCCATGCCCGAACCAGCTACTCCTAGGACTGCCAAACCCGAACCTGCCATACCCGAACCTGCTCCCGAGCCTGGGCGTTTCGGAGCACTCGACGAAGCTTCTCCGTTTGCTTGCTGCTGACTAGGATAGTGCTGTCTGAAATCGTGCTGGCGTGGCCAGGCAACACCCCCAGGTGCAGCACTAGCAGCAGACATCTGTTTCTCTTTAATAGCCAGAAGTTTTTTCCGATTCTCTGCCAGAAGATCCTGGGGGAAGGAACAAGACTATGGTTTAATCCGTTGAATAAATTGCAGAAACCATGCCGTAAGTGCAAGAGTTTATGGTTACGCCTCCTACAGCAGCAGCAGCAGCAGCAGCAGCAGCAGCAGCAGCAGCAGATTGTTCTGCCAGAAGATCCTGGGGGGAGGAAGAAGATTATGGTTTAACCCGTTGAATGAATTACAGAAACCATGCCGTAAGTGCAAGAGTTTATGGATAGGCCTCCTACAGCAGCAGCAGCAGCAGCAGCAGCAGTATCTGAGATTGTTATTACAGCTTTCGGTAAAACATGGATTAAACTAAACAAAACAGACAAGGAGAACTACACGCACCTGAACGACTGCTGTCCGCTGGCGCTGGCTCTCAGCCTTGATCGCCGCAATTCCCCGCCGGATCTCCGCGTTCCGCACCGCCGCGGACACCCCATCCGCGGGAGCGGCTGGCGCAGCTGAAACCACCATCGTGGCTTCCCCCATCTCCGCGTCTTGCGCCGGCGCTTGCGCTGCAGACCCTTCCGCGTGTGGAGCTTGACGCGTTGCAGCGGCTAGGAGGTCTGGTTCCAGGCGTCGCGCGGTGGGCGGCGGCGGCGGGTCCGCCATTGCCGCAGCCGCTACAGATTAGGAGGTTTCGTGTTCCAATTTGTCGCGTGTTCCGGGGAGTAGGAGAGTTTGTACCGTGTCCCGTGCCCGTGTCCTATGGTCCGTGTTCCGTGTTCCGGATTCAACAGGTTGTGGCGTTCGCCTTGTGCGGCGCGTCCTAGGCTGCGGAATGGTCAGCTCATGGTATCTTTAGCGCACCGGCAAACCAGAAGATCGAATTTTAATCCAATAACTACAGTTCGGAAAGCAAAACCAGTTTCTGTACTATTTAGAGCATGAGAAACGGTTGGAGGGTGATGTGAAAGAAAATGCCTAAAGTTTGTAATGGCTCAAACTGGAATATCCATGTGAAACATTCTATCTCATTTATGCACAAACGCAGACATGCCTCCTCTTTCTACTCTGGCTACACATTTCCTCAGTCCACGTCACAACTTTTTTTCCGAAGGGTGGAGGAGGGGGGGAGGAGGGGGGACTCTTATAACATTTGCGTGAACCCAACTCACAACCATTGAGGCACATTGTATCGTTAAACACACAAATGAGTTTCTCCTGTTCTTGCTCCTGCTGCTCCTCCCCCTACTGATGTGTAAGTGCTCCTGACCCTCCTTCCTCCCTTCTGCTGCCGACTTCCTCCAGCTGGTCACCTTTGAGTCGACTCAAAAGTCACCTACTCCAACCAAGATCTGACTTTCGCTCTTTCTTCTCCTGCTCCTGCTCCTTCTCCTTCTCCCCCTGCTCCTGCCCCTGTGCCTGACCCTCCTTCCTCTTTTGCGCTGCTAAAGTTTCCTTCATTCTCCACAGGTCCAGCTGAAACGCACCCACTATCATGCTTCTTGTGAGCCGGAGCGGGGTGTAGAGCTGCTTCCTGCTCGGCCCCATCCACTCACACGCACAACTAGTGCTCTTTCTAGTACAAAGCTAAAGCCCCTTCATTCTCCATAGGTCCAGCTGAAACGCACCCACAATCATGCTTCTCGTGAGCCGGGGGGAAGTGCAGAGCTGCCCCCTGCTGCCCTGCTGCTCACTCAACCCACTCGAAAAATTAAGTTACCGCTCTTTCTTCTCCTCCTGCTGCCCCTGCCCCTGATGCTTCTCCCCCTGCTTCTCCCCCTGTGCCTGACCCTCCTTCCTCCCCTTCTGCTCCTTCTCTGCCTTGCACGTAGCTAATGCACCCTTCATGTGCCATAGGTCCAGCTGAAACGCACCCACTATCATGCTCCTCGTGAGTCTTGGCGGAGTGTAAAGCCCAGGCGCCAGGGAGGACGGGGAAAAGAAAGGCGTAGCTCGGGGGATGAACCTGTTGCTGCTGGTACTAGAGGTGATGAGGGGTGGAAGGCGGTTGACTTCGGTGCCGTTGTGGAAGAGAATTAGGGTTGGAAGCTGAGAGGAGAACACTGCGGGGGAGGGAGGGAAGGGAGAGGTAAGGGAGAGAGGAAGAACTTGGGTTTAGGCGAGGATAAATCATTGCCAATGAAACCACTGCCGCCTCCATTGGCCTGAGTTCATTGGTGCTGTACAGTACAAATCATTTTCTGGAAAAACTCATTGCGTGACAAATGCATATTAGAAGGCACTTACTGCCAGTATCAATAGAGAATATATCGGCCACATTAGGGAATCAAGAGATATCCAACCTGCCAGAGTGAACAGGTGTATGCAACGGGCCGCAGGGCAAGACTATCCAAGAGAAGCACATAGGTGAGAGCACTTACTGCCGGTATCAATGGAGAACCGCTCGGCCACGTCAGGAAAGCGAGAGACGTCCAACCGACCGAAGTGAATGTGGGGGCCTTGGCCGTACCTTGGAAGAAATAGGGAAGGAATGGTAATGGAAGACACAGTATTATTGTTATTGTTATTTCGGCATACAATTTGTTTTATAAATGAAGCATAATCAGTGCCTGAAAGGATTTGAGGTTGGTAAGCTTGCAGTGAACACAATCTCGAGAGGAGTGGGCAGCAGCAAAAGAATTGGCCGTCAAGTATCAAAATTAGGCTAGGGGGCGGGGGCTCAGAAGTGACAAAGAAAAGCCACGTGTATGAAGATTGGTTTTGAGACCAAAACACCTCTGAGACGTCTCAAAACCAATCTTCATATAGGTGGCTCAGATGTGACAAAGAAAGAAATAGTTGGAGGGAAACTTAGGACCCGTCACATCCCTCGATCGATCGTGCAAAATCGAGGAAGATCGATCGTCCACTGCACTAAAAACCCGCCTGTTGCATTTAAAATTGTTTTAAAACTTTCTAAACCGAATCATAAATCGATCCTGCGCAGGATCGATTGAGGGAGGTGACGCGTACTTAGTCGTGGGCGAGCGGGGAGGGGGGGGGGGTGGTGGGGTGAGGGGGCAAGGCAAGGGGGCATACTGGTTAGCAATGTCAACCAAGAGAGAATGTGCCAATGGCACGGGGGGGTTTTGAGTCGCTCAAAACTCGACTCAAACGTCAAACCAGTGGGGAGTGAAACCTACCCGTGGGCAGAGCTTGAGGGCGTGAAGGGGCTTACTGGTTGGCGACGTCAATGTATAGAGACATGTGCTGGTGGCACGGGGGGGACCAGCTGGCATAGAACATGACCAGGCACGGTACTGGCACGTTGGATGCTGGCGTTGCAATTTTTACTGGCGCTGCTAGCTCCAACTGCATAGTAGATGACTTTTGAGGCGCCTCGGTGAGGGGCAGAACGGGTGAGGGGGCTTACTGGTTGGCAATGTCAACGAAGAGAGACATGTGCTGGTGGCACGGGGGGGACCAGCTGGCATAGAACATGACCAGGCACGGTACGTTGGTTGCTGGCGTGGCACTTTCCACTGGCGCTACTAGCTCCAGCTGGCGCGGGATCAGCTCAAGAAAGGCGTCAGATGCTGACGTGGCAACAGGAGGGGGGGGGTGAAGAGAGGTCAGTGAGTGAATGAGAAAGTGCGTGTGAGTGTGTGAGTCTGTGTGTGTGTTTGTCCCAGAGACTGTGTGCATGTGAGTGCACACATGTGACATGCTGCGCATGTGTGTGTGTGTGTGTGTGTGTGTGTGTGTGTGTGTGTGTGTGTGTGTGTGTGTTTGTGTGTGTGTGTGTGTGTGTGTGCGTGCGTGCGTGCGTGTGTGCGTGCGTGCGTGTGTGTGCACGTGCTTCTGTGTGTGTGCGCGTGTGCGAGCGCGACATGCGTGTGTGCGTGGTTGTGTGCATTTCTCTGTGGACTGACTGACCTGATGGGGTTGCTGGTGAGCGTTGGGGGCAAAGAAGAAAGATCACTGCACACGCAGGTGGTTGAACAAAAGGGGACAGGTGGAGGTGTGAAGGGACTGTGAACATAAGACTGTTGCAAAGAGAGCAAGCGAGAGAGGCGGAAGCAGGAGAAGAAAGAAAGAAGGGAAAGAGCGGAAAAGGGAGATAGGAGAGTGAGAATGGCGAGAATAAAATGCCAGGCGCATATTGAACGGGTGGAAGTGAGGCGCGAGAGACAACTCTGGATGTCTGGTGCTTACACTACACATTCAGACATAAAGTAGAGGAGCTCAATCTCGAGTCAACTCTGAAGTCATTGTGTTTGCTTTGCATACTCACACATGAAGGCCAGGAGGTACCAGGCACAAAAAAAGCAACAAGAATCACTTGCAGCAAGAGGCGACTCAAATGACTCACGCATGAACGCAAGGAGGTACCAGACACAAATGCGGGGATCCACAGCCCACAGGAGAGCGATGAGAATCATCTGCAAATATCAGCAGGACGCAATGGCAAACAAGTATTCATAGAGCAGAAACACAAGGGGAGCTGGATATGAGTAAAGTGGCTTCAAAATATATACATCCTTGGAGCAACAGCCAGGAAGGGAGCATTGTCAAAGTATTCACAAGAAAGGAGAGGCAGGAAAACACACACTTGCAGTTGCTTTTAGCGGCAGGGAAACAAAGGAAGGAGTAAAAGGACGTGCCTTTGTGTTGAACATGATGGAAACTAAGACTGGTGAGACACCCCAGAGGGGAAGGCGAGAAGGGAAGGCGAGCAGGGAAACAAAGGAAGGAGTAGAAGGACGTGCCTTTGTGTTGAACATGATGGATGAAAAGGCTGCTTCGGCTGTGTTGGCTCGCCATAACTGCGCTTACAGCAAATGGCATTGCCATGCCATGTCATACCATGCATGCCATGCCATGCCATGCCATGCCATGTCACACGGAGTAAAGCATGCCACAAGAACCAAACAAGTGCATTCTTAGACTTAGACGAGGTGCTGCTGCTGCTGCTGCTGCTGCTGATAGGCACTGCGTGACTCAACGTATGAACTGAAACACCTTCAGAAACGCAACGCTGCTGTTAGATTATAGGTGACGAGACTGATCGCACACCTTGTATGTCGCGCTGAGGAGGAGGCCAAAGAGAACATGCCGCTCCTGCCATGATTGGACCGGACCATGGGAGGCAAGAGACGGGAGGGGGGACCGGAAGGGAGTGACAGCCGTAAATGGACTTTTGAGTCGAATCAAAGACGCGCAGAGGAGGAGGCCGAAGAGAACATGCCGCTCCTGCCATGATTGGACCATGGGAGGCAAGAGACGAGAAGGAAGACGGAAGTCGCCAGACTAACACACTTTGTGTAGTACCGAGAGATCACAAGCCAAGCCAAGATAAAATCTGCACAATAAGAGTCGCCGGACTTGCCCAATTGTAAAGCACTGAGCGATGACAAGCCAACACGGATTTTCCAGAAAACGAATCACACTGCACAGCACCGTACAGTACCGCATGTCTTTCAAAAACACGGCGCGAGTCGCGGCCATACCCATTTGTAGAGAACCGCAAGGTCTCTCGAGAATGAGCCTCCGGACACGACGGCGATCCGCACGGGGAGAACGGAGAGCACAGCGAGGAGATTAACTACGTAGTACGGCGACAAGAACGTGCTCAGCCGGCTGGTAGGTCCCGAATTCGCCGCTTCCTCCGCCGGAATTTCAGGCCGCACATCCATGGACTGCGATACAGTGAGGCTCCAGCAACAAGGATCGAAATACTATATCGAGCAATGACTGTAGTACAATTCTCCGTCGAATCAGCACCAAGCAATAGCCGAATCAGAGCCAAGGATTGGGCGAGTGTTACGCGAATGAACGGCTGGGTGGCTCAGGTGAGTCAAAGCAAGGACCAGACGCGTCAGGGGGAACGCGGCAACAGAGCTGTGCTGCAAGCTGCGTGTTCGTACAATCAGTACCACGCGTATCGGTGTGCTATCTTTGCGTCGGACTAGACCATCTCTTGGTCATTTGTGAACTATGCTGTGGTGATGCGTGAGTTGAAGAGATCATACGATACCACCTCTTTGATGCGGTATTGAAAGTTTTGTAGACGGAAATCAGGGTTGCAGTGCGGTTGTTGGACACTGAGCCCTGATCCTCGATCTTGTATGATGATCACAACTAGCATGTGAATCTGGGCGCGCTAAGGGCAAATCCGTATCCCGATACTGTTCGATATTGCAAGGCACAAAAATGTCAAAGCATTTAAAGCTGATCAAATCACCTGCAGCTGAACATGATGTTCCAAACAAAGATTTCAACGAAAACTCTTGTGAGCACTACATTCAGAAACTAGTTTTGTTGCACACATAAAATCTGCATCCAAACACTCTGCTAGGCACAAATCCCAGTTTAAAAAACGTGTACGAGTGAATGGATGCTTCACCAAGTGCACCCACGATCGACTATAGGATTTAGGGTTCAAATGAAGGTACAAACCACAGCCAGGGTGGAGTGGTCGAGTGTGATTTTAGGTGATAACGGTAGGTGCAGTGCGGCCAGTAAATTCCTCGATCTTGGAGACCTTGATAGCCACATCAACCTGATGTGGAGAAGGAAGAGGAAAGATGGATTGGAGAGGGGGTGGGATACATACCGCAAAAATAACAAGGGCAAAAGAAGTAACAGTACAAGGGAAAATTATGCAGCAAGGAAGTCAATGTTTTGAACTGTTCACAAAAGGGCACAAACGCCAGCCAAGTTGTTCTTTTAGAGCTCAACCATATCATGGATAGCGTACCCAAAAAGAATGGAACAAACAGACTAACAAAATAGGGAACACAGGAATGTAGAAATTTCAACCGTCAGTACATACCAGAGGAGCAAGCACATCAGCCGGGTTGCCATCAATCTTGGAGCTATCTGCCACGTATTGCTCAATGTAAACTCGGATGGTCGCTCCCACTGAACCCGTTCCTGACAGGCGGAAGATCTGCAGGGCAGAGGAGGAAGGCAGTGCAGAGGAGGCGAGCAGGTGGGAAATAAGACAATAACATCAATCTTGGAGCTATCTGCCACGTATTGCTCAATCTACACACGGATGGTTGCGCCCACTGATCCTGTGCCTGACAGGCGGAAGATCTGCAGGGAAGAGGAAACAAGCACGAATCACGGGTGGGAAACAAAACACACATCCTCAAATTCGGAGCTATCGGCCAGGTATTGCTCCATGTACACACGGATGGTCGCCCCCACTGACCCTGTGCCCGACAGGCGGAAGATCTGCAGGGCAGAGGAGGCAAGCACGAACGGAAGATCTGTAGTGCTCAATGTGGATTAAACGAAGGAACGAGGCCGTACCAGTCTGGAGCCATCAGCAAAGAAGAACCGAATGCCCTGGTGGCTGGACACTGAGCCATCCGCATATCTCGTATAAGCTCACTCATGGTTGTTTCAATGGAACGAAGAAACCTTACCAGACTAGAGCCATCAGCAAAGAAGAACCTAATGCCCTGGTGGCTGGACACCGAGACATCCACAGATAGCTTCCGAGTGCACTCATATGTATGAAACGGCAGAAAGAGGGCTTACCAGTCTGGAGCCATCAGCAAAGAAGAACCGAATGCCCTGGTGGCTGGACACAGAGCCATCCACGGGGTCCTTGTACTCAAACTCGTCGCCCCTCACCACGTCTGCCGCTGCGCTGTTGGCTGCCTTCACAGCCCTGAAACAGCAGTGGGGTTAGAAAAGACGTGGGAGAGAGCAGTGAGATGGGCAAGCAAGCAAAACAGAGCCATCCACAGACTTCTGAGGCGCCTCAAAAGACACAGAGCCATCCACAGGGTCCTTGTATTCAAACTCGTTGCCTCTCACCACATCTGCTGCTGCGCTGTTGGCTGCCTTCACAGCCCTGTCAGCAAGAAGGGGTGAAAATGAGCGGAGTAGTGCAGCAGGAAACAGCGGACTAGAGTGAGATATGCACGGGAAACAGAACCAGAGGAGGTTCGTTGCTGCCAAAAAACAAGATACCGTACAAGCTCAGGCGCTAGTAATCATGCGTGCCTTTTATGGGGTTAAGATCATATAGGCTCAAGAGTTAGGAACGCACGTGTTGAGTGCAGCAATGTCTGCTTGGCTGGCGACGAGATGAGCCATGAGCTTCTTTGCACCCTCTGCATCCACGCCCTGCCATCACGACATGGCATTGGGGGAAAGAATGGAGAGATGACAAGGGATGATATGTGATGATAACAGAAGTCTGCAGAACAAGAGTGTGGATGAGATAAGTTTGGCAGACAAGGACGAAGGAAGGAAACAGAAAGGGGGTAGGTGTGGTTATGAACGTGCAGGCGAGAACAGATATGTGCTTCACACAGCAGCAAGCCAAAGTACCTTATAGTCATATCGGGTGTAAAAGTGTTGGCCATACTTGGCCCAATGCTACCTCACGATCCCTCCACAGTCACCAGCTGCCCCTCACTGCCTCCCACTGCACCTCACCGCATCTAACCGCCTCTCACCGCATCTCACCTCGTAGTCATATCTCGTGTAGAAGTGTTGGCCGTACTTGGCCCAGTCCTGCCTCACGATCTCCAGAGTCACCAGCTGCCCTCTAGGTCAAGGAGACCCAGCTGCAGGCTACAGGGCTCATACAGGGCTCATACTATCCAACCAAGGGGCAGGGATTTACACAGCGGTATGGACTCTTACCTCATAGTCATATCGGGTGTAGAAGTGCCGGCCATACTTGGCCCAGTGCTGCCTCACGATCTCCTCCACAGTCACCAGCTGCCCCTCACTGCTGCTGCTGTTCCGGTGGGCCAGGATGGAGAGCCATGCTAGGATCGCCCATATGCCGTCCTTCTCCCTGATGTGGTCCGACCCTGGGAGTGAAAAGCAGCGTAAAGCACAGCATTGTGGGGGCTATGAGATAAGGAAGGGAAACCAGTCACCACCAGCTGCCCCTTGCTGCTGCTGCTGCTATTCCGGTTGGCCAGGATGGAGAGCCACGCAAGGATCGCCCACATGCCGTCCTTCTCCCTGATGTGGTCCGACCCTGGGAGTGCAGGGCAAAAGCGTGCAGGAAAAAGCAAAGAAAAGCGCAGCAGTGAGAGGGAAAGAGGAGCCGAACTAACTCCAGCTGCCCTTCACTGCTGCTGTTGCAGCTACTCCAACTCCAGGGACAAACCTCACGAGTCCCGAACCCCATGAGTCTCATGAGTCGCAAACCTCACGAGTCCTGAACCTCATGAGTCGCAAACCTCACGAGTCCGAACCTCATGATTCCCAAACCTCACGAGTCCCGAACCTCATGAGTGCCGAGCCTCACACATTCTGAACCGAACCTCACCTGTGCCGAAGCTCTCTTCACCACAGATAGAGCACATCCCCGCGTCCATAAGGTTGCCAAAGAACTTCCACCCCGTCGGCACCTGCAATCACACCAGCAGCATTGGATAAACCACAGGAACGAGAATCAGAAGAGGTGTCCAGTCTGCTGTCTCTGAGCTCTCTTCACCGCAGATAGAGCACATGCGCGCGTCCATGAGATTGCCGAAGAATTTCCACCCTGTTGGCACCTGCAAGCATAGAAGCAGCGGATAAACCACAGAAGAAAGAATCAAGAGAGGTGTCCAGTCTCTTAGCTCTGAGCCCTCCTGGACTCTGAGCTCTCTCCACCGCACACAGAGCACATGCCCGCGCCCATGAGGCTGCCAAAGAACTTCCAACCAATTGGCACCTGCATGCACAGAAGCAAACAGGGCAGGTTCACCAAATGGCCCTCAACAAATTTGGATTCCAGCCCCTGGCCGTGCCATCGAGAGCAGCCAATGTGGGCATGCTCCTGGAGACGCCCTGGAGGCAGCCCTTGAAGTGCAGCAGACTAACAGAGCGATGGAGAGGAGTGCATGGCGAGGAGTGCATGACTACCTCGAAGAACTTGAGACCAAGCTCCTTGGCCACGACATCAGAGCAGCGGAGGTACGCATGCTCCTGGCCACGCCCTTGAGCCCGCCCTTGAAGTGAAAGACTAGACCAACAGAGTGGTGGAGGGGAGTGCAGAGGGATTCCTACCTCAAAGAACTTGAGTCCAAGCTCCTTAGCAACAACATCCAGAGCAGCGGAGGTGGGCATGCTCCTAGCAACGCCCTTGAGCCCGCCCTTGAAGTAGGGGATGCTGACGACCGCGTTGGCTGCTATGATGGCCACCGAGTCAGACGGCGTCACAAAGAACCTGCCAGGGAGAGGGTGACAGGGGAACACATTGCCCGGGCAATGTAACAGCCTTTTAATGAGACTCTTGGAAAAAACCACATGGCAGTCGGTGTCCCCATTACAGGCAGAACTGAATCTGGAAATGTTCTATAATACCAAGCTCACCACATTGTTTTCACCTCTTGCGCAGAACCATGTTGTGACCAGCGTCGCCGTCACAGGCAGCGCCGAATTCAGGCGGCTCCTGAGCGGGCTGGTGCTTGCCCAGCCCCATCGCCTCATGCATAAAACCTGCCCACACCCTCCACCTCGTTCTCACCTCTTGCCCAGAACCATGTTGCGATCTGCATCCCCATCACAGGCAGCACCAAACTCAGGCGGCTCCTGAGCGGGCTGGTGCTTGCCCAGTTCCATAGCCTCCCACCAGGTCATGCGCGTTCAGCTTAAAGCCATGAGACCAGTTACCTCTAAGATAACACCTGTCACCACCTCGTTCTTACCTCTTGCCTAGACCCCAAACACCTCGCCCTTACACACCTCTTGCCCAGAACCATGTTGCGATCAGCGTCGCCATCACAGGCAGCGCCAAATTCAGGGGGCTCCTGGGCGGGCTGGTGCTTGCCCAGGCCCATGGCCTCCACCAGGTCATGTGCGTAGGTCAGGTTGGGGTCAGGGTGACCGCCACCAAAGTCCTCCTGGCATAGGGAAGAAGTGATGTATGGGACGGGAGTGTGGGGGAACATATGTGCTTGCCCAGCCCATGGCCTCCACCAGGTCATGCGCGTACGCCAGGTTGGGGTCAGGGTTCCCGCCACCAAAGTCCTCCTGAAGACACGGAGGCAGGGGTGGAAAGCGAGAGGGAAGGAAAAGGGTAGGGAGGAGAGTGTAACTGCTTGCCCAGCCCCATGGCCTCCACCAGGTCATGCGCGTAGGTCAGGTTGGGGTCGGGGTGACCGCCACCGAAGTCCTCCTGGCATCGGGAATAAGAAATAGAGAAGGGAGTTATGGGATGGGAGCCTGAGACCTCATCTGTGTGCCCAGCCCCAAGGCCTCCACCAGGTCATGCGCGTAGGTGAGGTTGGGGTCAGGGTGCCCACCCCCAAAGTCCTCCTGAAGGCACGGAAGCAGAGGCGGAGATAGGTTTATGGGAGGGGAGTGTGGGGAAACATATGTGCTTGCTCAGCCTCATTGCCTCCACCACGTGATGTACGTAGGTGGGGTTGAGGTCGGGATGTCCGCCACAGAAGTTCTCCTGGCGTAGGGAAGAAAACAAAAAGTTAGTGTGAGAGCATAGGTTCTTGCCCAGCTCGAATGCCTTTACCAGGACATCTGTGCAGGTGATGTTGAGTTCAAAGTAAGATTTACAGGTAGAGGTTGGATTGTAGAGCAGCAGGGGAGATTGTCCGGCCGAAAGTGAGATTCTGGAACGGAGGGTAATACCTTTGAGCGAAATGCGGGAGTGAAGAGCGGAATGTGGGATGGTACGGCATTAGCAAGAGCCATGACGTACCTTTGGCACACAGTTGACAAGGGACGAGGCTGGAACGCCCAGCTCACGCACAAACAGCTTCTCCGCGTATGCTCCCGCCACTCCGTGCAGCCCATCCAACCTGCGAGAAAGCACGCAATGACAATCAAAAAAGCGAAGAGCATGAAAGTAGCATGAAAGTTTGGAAGTGCGTTCAGTTTGATTCAGGATACTTCTGCACGTCTTCTTTTGATGCTTACAGACGTCCCTCAATGTACGATTGCTGGTAAAGAAGGCAAAGACAACTCAATGCTAAGACTTGGGTTTAGAGACGTACAGGAATGAGAACTTGGGGTTCTTGAGGAGCTCCCGAATGGCATCAAAGTCGAAGATGGTCCTGCAGCAGAGCAGTAGCAACAGCAGCATGGTGGGGGCGAATGGCATCACGTTAGGACGGAAGGAAAGCACTGCGTTGCGAGTGGAATGCGAAGTTTCTAAAGACAAGCTTTCCTTCCTCTCTGAGAGGCTGTCCCCAGTGTCATTTCCACAGTTCAGCACCATTAAACAGGGTAGGCAGAAGGGAAGCAAGAATGCCAATTTCTGTTTTTTTTTTCACGAAGGAGATGTACTGAAAGAAAGAAAGGGCATTAAGCGAAAGGGAGTGATGTGTGACTGACTTCATGAGCTTGATGTAGTCCTCAGCGCTATCAAACACCTCCTCCTCGAACTTGCCATGTCAAAGGACTGTTTTGTACTTCACTACTAAACAAGCAGGACTGTGAGTGAAGCGGAAAGATGAGGGACTGACTTCATGAGTTTGATGTAGTCCTCTGCGGAGTCAAACACCTCCACCTCGAACTTGCCATTCGGGCCGTCAAAGGACTGCAGCCCGATGGTGTGGATGTCCACCTGCAGAGGAGAGAACAGAGCAGAACAGTATTACAGAAAAGCAGCACGGAACCACAAGACAACGGGAGGAAGAACCAGAAGAGGGGATGCATTATGTTCCACGGATCAATGTCAGTCAGACAGCGCCTCGCAGTTTCCACAACTAAACGAAAGCAACTTATGGATCTATGGACCTATGGAACAGCTAGACCGGGGAGAGAGAAAGACAAGATTCTTCGAGGAAGCATTCAGAAAAACTTGGGCTTGGAGATGGTAGTGGTGTGCTGGTAGATCAGATCAGTCAGGCCCTCAGAATCCGGGCTTCCTTTTCGAAGTTGTAGTACTTATCCCAGAGTCCTCATTTATGGGGGGTCTTTCAGGGGGGCTCACTAACGTACCTCGGGCAGGTCTTCTGCAAGCTTGAGCTCAGAGACGGTTGTGGTGTGCTGGTAAATCTGGCTGGCTAGGCCTTCGGGAGCTGAGATTAAGCTATCACAACCTACTTGAAGATTAAGACTTCAATAACGTACCTCAAGCAGGCCTTCAGCGATCTTGAGCTCGGAGATGGTAGTGGTGTACTCATAGATCTGGTTGGTCAAGCCTTCGGGAGAAGGGCCTACGCTCTCACCCCTGTTCCTTAGGCCCAAGCCTTCATGGGGGGTGACTAGTGGAACCTTAATAACGTACCTCGGGCAGGCCTTCAGCGATCTTGAGCTCGGAGATGGTAGTGGTGTGCTGGTAGATTTGGTCAGCCAAGCAGGCCTTTACGAGCTGGGCCTACGCTCTCACACCTGTACCTTAGGCCCAAGACTTCATGGGGGTTGACTAATAGAACCTCATTTACCTACCTCAGGAAGGCCTTCAGCGATCTTGAGCTCGGAGATGGTGGTGGTGTGCTGGTAGATCTGGTTGGTCAGCCCTTCGGGAGCCGGCCCTCCGTTCTCGCAGTTGTACTTGATGCCAAAGTCCTCGTGCGGCCCACCCGGGTTGTGGCTCGCTGTCAGAATGAACGCTCCGTACGCCTTGTCGCCCTGTTTCAGGCAATCAGATGACAGGAGGTCGTGCTGTTAGGCATAACCAGCCGCTGGTGAAAATAATCAGAGCTGAAAAGCTGAAGGCCGGCAGAAGTTTCGCCACCGAAATCTAGGATTCCATAAGTCCTTGAGAGAAAGTGTCTGAACTGAATAGTGGAAAAAGAACGCCTAATCATTACCTGGATGCCGACGCGATCACGGATGATTCCAGACACAGCCGGCGTGGAGAGGAGGCTGTCCTGGCCCACCCAGATCCGGCGAACTCCATTGCCGGCTGCGAGCTTCGCGATAATCTGTCGGGCATTCAAGGCGTCGACAAAGAATCACGTCGTCATGGACTCAGATAGTCACGAATTCGAGTCGTACTGGATTCAAGTCGTCAAAATTTCAAACCGTAAAGGCATAGATTCAAGTCGTCTAGATCCAGAGAAGTACAGTATACCAGCAGGACAGTCGGATTTTAAGGACACGAAAGATACACAAATGGATGTTATGGTCTGTAAGAGCGGAGTCCGGCATTACCTGAACTGCGTCCTTGGAATAGTACCGACCGTCGCCGGAAACCACGAGAGTGCAGCCTGAACAGGAGAGGAAATAGATTGAACCATGTCAGAACTAGAAACGCGGATATCTGATGTTTTCTAGAGGTCGAAGTAATCCAAAAAACGGAGATTCAGGAAGATTTGGTCCCTGAGTCTGACAATTCATTGAGGGTTGGAGAAAGAGATCGACATCAGTAGGATAACTTAGACCGCGTTTACCCTGAATCTTGTCAGCGGGAAGCGAATTGAAGGTTGCCTGGACGAAATTCGCCAGGTAATTCGGCTGTTGGAAGACCGTGACCTGGTAGCACAACGAATTGGATCGGATTTAGCTAATAATATAACGGGCGGTCGATCTTGTAAGCTTGTCCTGGACGAACAAAGCACGAGTGCTACCTTCTTCCTTAGGCCCGAGGTACCAGGCTTCTGTCCCTCGTAAGGGGTAGTAGGCTGAGTGGCAATGGTAAACGCCATGAGGCTTGGCGAGATAGAGCGCTGCAAGAAGAATGCTGATCGGCGAAGGATGATGACGCAGATTCACAGGCTACTGCTTCCCAATGTACTGGCTGGCTACGGCTATCTTGCTCAAATGTTTCACTTCAGCCTGTGAGTCTGTGAATGTGTGAATCTGTGAAATTGTGAATTCAGGGACCCAAGTGCAAATCTTGCTTCTGGAATCTGGTCTGGTCCTACCGTTCAGCCATGGTGATTGTCACAGGTGGTGAAATTCGCGGTTTCTTGCTATGTCAGATGCGTGTGTGACGTCGATGTTTCGCTTGACGACACTCGACGGCTACGATTTCAGGAAAGAGGATCTTGGAACCGCCGCGCGAGGCTACCCTGGGTTTGGCTTGGCCCACAAGCACAAGAAGGGAGGACTGCCTACCCACGAACGCCACGTGGCTCGGCGTATCCTTCAACCGAAGTGACACACAGTACCCTACACAGTATGATTTTCAGAAGCAGTGATGCAAAGCTTAAGCGGGTGCACATCTACTTGTGAAACCAGACGAATATGCCCTGTGCTGCAAGCATATGACCTGCCCTCCGACCAAACCTCCACCACTGCAGCACAGACAATTCAACCATTTTCACGAACCAGAGCACCGTTCTTCGTCGACGACGATTCCACCAGGTAATGCTCGCTGTAAATTTCGCGACAGCGAGAATCCCCACCTGCAACAGTGTGCTGCTTGCACATTCCGCCCCACCTCTGCGAGCTGTCATCAGGTTTCCACGTTACCGAGTGTGAAGTGTTGAACGAACAGGCTCGCTAGCACTTTTGACGAAACAAAGAGTAAGGGCGACACTGCATAAGTTCGCCAAATTTGCCGCCACACGAAGGCACCTCCCCTGCCCGACAGCCCGAAGCGCTGGTTTGGACAGGCTGGATTATTGTTGAGCAGGCAGCCGCCCTATGCTTTCAGTTTTCAACTACCAAATTGCAAGCTTTTGACAATGGGGGACAAGTGTCGTGGAAATGCCTCCTTGTTACTGAATGATATCGGCCGCAGTCATTGTGACTCTCGAATGATAAACGCCCTCAGAGCACGATGCGGAGAGGCTAATTATACCTCCGCGGGTTACGCCACGCATTGCGCTGCAGCCGTGAGTTGCGGCGGAGATAATAGCCACGATTACTCTCATGGGGCACAGGCAGAACGTCTCGTTCCGCCGGGAAGCTCCAACTTTTCCTCGTTACAGTACTAACGCTCTGAGTTCCACTGTAAGGAAGAGACCCGGTAACGGTCGGCGAATCCATCGGAGTTGCCATGATTGCGTCGCAATTCTCCTCCTACTCGCCGTGTATTGCTCTCCCGCAGCACGCAGGCTCGGCGCCGCCGCGACGCCTGCCGGCGCGGGTCCAGTCTTAGATAGAACCTCCCCTGGTTGCACCTTGTCGCCGTCATCCGTGTCGTGCCCCGCGGGATTCGCTGTGACGGACGGGGGCGAAGGTGGGGCCTTTATCCTGAACGGCCGTGCTTATATCGCGGACGCGGACCAGAGAAGCGCCGCTCTCATCCTGAGTGCGTCGGACGGCGGTAGTAGCCCAAATAGCGCAGCGGCTAGTGAGGGGGGATCCGCCAGTTCCGCGGATAAGGGGGGATCCGCGGGCAGTGAGGGGGGATTCGCGGGTTCCGCATTCACTTCCGCCGCGCTCTCGCCTCCGGTCAGCGGGAGAGGTTCGGCGCTCTCGTTTTCGGCGCGCTTCACGTTCCAGCTGGAGGGGCAGAACGAGGCTGACGTGGCAACGGGGCTTGCTTTCGTCATTACTGGCGGACCCAACACTGCCGTCGGCTCGCCCAGGTGAGATACAACCTCCCCCAGATTCTGCCTGCTCCCCTGGCTGAGGTGCAGCCTCCCCCAGATGCTGCCAACCCGCCCAGGTGAGATACAGCCTCCCCCAAATGGTACTTACCCCTCGCTCACTCGTGCCTTACCCCCTTTGAAACTGCCCCTTTTCCCCCTTCCCCTTCACCCCATCCTCCCGCCCCCTTTTCCCCCACCTTCCCCTTCCCCCCCCTTCCCCCCTCCTTCCTCCCTCCCTCCCTTCACCCCTTCCCCCCAGTCTGGCCGGCTACGGCGGCGCGGCCTTCGATGCCAGCCTGGCAGTGGTGCTGAGCGGCCGCCCGCCCATCTCTGCCGGCCTGCTGCTGGGCGGCAAGGCGGACGGCAGTGGCAGATGGGCGGCTCTCAACCCCTCATCGCCTGACGCACCGCATGTAAGCTGGAGGGAGGGAGCATGAGGGGGGGGGTGGGGGGAAGATGGTCCAACCCATGCATGTTGAGCTTATAGAGAGGGTCGCACCCTGAATGCATGTCCGACATCGCACCCCGTGTGCATGACTTGATGGTCCTGTGTGTTGGTGGGGTATTGTGATATGCCTGTGTATTGCGATTGGTGGGTGTGTTGCCTGAGTGGACTATGACGCCGGCCTCGTCTCCCTCCGAGCTTATGTGCCCCCACCCACCCCTTCCCCCATTCCGATCCACCCTTTCTCCCTCCCCACCTTCCCCCCGCCTTCCCCCAGCTGCTAGTCCCGGGGGTGCAGCAGTACGCCTGGGTGGACTACAACGCCTCCCTCTGTGCTCTTCGAAACTCCCCCTTTTTGCCCCTTCCCTGTCCCACCTTCCCCTTCCCCGTCCTCCCCCCCCCCCCCAGCTGCTGGTCCCGGGGGTGCAGCAGCACGCCTGGGTGGACTACAACGCCTCCCTCTGTGCTCTTCGAAACTCCCCCTTTTTGCCCCTTCCCTGTCCCACCTTCCCCTTCCCCGTCCTCCCCCCCCCCCCCAGCTGCTGGTCCCGGGGGTGCAGCAGCACGCCTGGGTGGACTACAACGCCTCCCTCTGTGCTCTTCGAAACTCCCCCTTTTTGCCCCTTCCCTGTCCCACCTTCCCCTTCCCCGTCCTCCCCCCCCCCCCCCAGCTGCTGGTCCCGGGGGTGCAGCAGCACGCCTGGGTGGACTACAACGCCTCCCTCTGTGCTCTTCGAAACTCCCCCTTTTTGCCCCTTCCCTGTCCCACCTTCCCCTTCCCCGTCCTCCCCCCCCCCCCCAGCTGCTGGTCCCGGGGGTGCAGCAGCACGCCTGGGTGGACTACGACGCCTCCCTCCTCCCGTGTTCCCACTATCCCATTCCTTACCCATACTATTTCCTTTCTTCTGTTCCCCTTCTCTCGCCTCCCCAATCCCCCCCCCAGCTGCTGGTCCCGGGGGTGCAGCAGCACGCCTGGGTGGACTACGACGCATCCCTTTCCACCCTCCGCCTCTTCCTCAGCGGCTCCTCCCCCACCAAGCCTGCAGCTCCGGTTCTCTCCGAGCCTGTCGACCTGCCTCGGGCGCTCGGCTTGGCACCTGACGGCAGCTGCCCAGACGGCATTGGCGCGGATGCGGTGGGCGGCGGTTGTCTGTTTGTGGGGTTCACGGGCGGGACAGAAGCAACGGATGAAGCAGAGATGGCAGCAGCAGGGATGGCGGAGGGAGTGGCCACTGGAAAGAAAGCAATGCAAGTTAGGATTCAATCTTTCTCTTTTCAATTTCGCACCACTGCTGCTGTTTCTACTACCTCTGCTGATGCTGCTGCGGCTGCCACAGTCGGAACCATCAGCCTGACAGGCTTGGCCGAGCCAACAGGCTCGGGTTCACCGAACGTGTTCCTCGCTTCGGCCGAAAGCGGCAGTGCAACAGTAGCTTCCTTCGGAGCCACAGACCCTTCTGCTGCTGGCAGTGGCCTTTTCTCCATCGCCTCTCTCGATACTGGCTCTGGCACTGCTGCTGCCACTGCCACAGCTGCTCCTGACCCTCCCCCCTGCAACGTCACCGCCACCAGCATCTCTTGTGCTGGTTTCTCCTCTTCCTCTTCCTCTTCCTCCTCTGCTTCTCCTGCTCTCTCATCGCCCTTCTTTGCGCTTTCCGGGGCTGCTCAGGTCGGGCCCGGACCGAACTTCCCCATCTGGCTCGACTGCACCACCAATGCTGCCGGCTGTGCCTTCTCCATCCCGAGCCTCAGCCTCAGCCTCGGCAGCGGTCCGGTGGCGTTTGAGGCGGCGTTTTCGGTGTCGTTTGCGGCGAGTGCGGATTACAACAGCTGGGGCAGTCGAGGGCTCGCGTTTGTGCTCACTGCCGGGGACAAGACTGCCTGTGGCCGCAGCTCCGCCAGGTGAGAAGCGGTGGAGATGGGTTCGGGCTTGGTTGAGTTTGGTAGTGCATGATGTATAGAGAGGAGGGCTGGGGAGGGGTTGTGTGTGGTCCCACCTGGTGTGATGAACAACAGCTGGGGCAGTCGAGGCCTGGCGTTTGTGCTCACTGCTGGGGACAAGACCGCCTGTGGCCGCAGCTCTGCCAGGTGAGGAGCGGTGGAGAGGGGTTGAGTGTGGTAGTGCTGATCCGTGTCACAGCTCCCAAGCCGGCTCTCCAATTGCCCTGACTCTTCCCCCTCTCTTCCACCCAGCAACATCGGCTATGGATCAGCCCCGAACGCGTCCTTCGCAAAAAGCATAGCGGTGGAGCTGAGGGCGCGGCCGACCAACAGCACCCACATTCCTGTACCTTGCACCCCTTTCCTATCCCTCCATCCACCAGCAACATCGGCTACGGATCAGCCCCCAACGCGTCCTTTGCTAGGAGCATAGCGGTGGAGCTGAGGGCGCGGCCCCTCAACACGACCCTCACTCCTGCCTGCCCCTTGCTCCTCTCTCTCCCATTACCCACCAGCAACATCGGCTACGGAGCAGCTCCCAACGCGTCCTTTGCTAGGAGCATAGCGGTGGAGCTGAGGGCGCGGCCGACGGCGTGTGTGACGGTGGTGGTGGGCGGGCAGGTGGCCGGCGACAACTGTGCCGACTCCGATGCCATGGCGCTGCTTCCACCGGGGCAGGTAACACCTTGCTTGGTAACAACTGTGCCGACTCCGATGCCATGGCGCTGCTGCCCTCTGAACAGGTAACTCCTGCTCGGGTAGTGCCCGGTCGGGTAGCGCCAACAGGTGGTGGGCGGGCAGGTCGCCGGCGACAACTGTGCCGACTCCGGTGCCATGGCGCTGCTGCCTCCCGCTCAGGTGAGACCTGCTTGGGTAAGGCCTGTTCAGGTGAGGGCAGTACCTGCCAGGGTAACAGCTGGTGGGAACGTGGTAGTGGGTGGACAACTGTGTTGACCCCGATGCCATGGCGCTGCTGTGCTGCCTCCCGCCCAGGTGAGACCTGCTTGGTTAGCGCCTGCTCAGGTAACACCTGCTCGGGTAACAACTGTGCGGACTCCGATGCCATCATGCCATGGCACTGCTGCCGCCCGAACAGGTCAGATCTTGTTGGATTCAATCGCCTGTATAGGTCGCATTGTAGGCGTCTCAAATACTCCCTCCCTGTAGCTCCCATTTGAGGCGATTCTTGAGCGGAGTTAAAAAATCGACTTATCAAACACGGATCTGGTTGGACTCAATCGCCTGTAGCTCCCATTTGAGGCAATTCTTGGAACCAACATCAATCAACCCCCACTCGCCCCCCACTGCCCCACTCCCCCACTGACCCTTTCCCCCACAACCCCCCCAACACTAAGCCCTGCTTTCCCTGAACCCCTATTCCCTTGCTCCATCCACTCCCCTGCTCTCTCCACTTGCTTTCCCCTTGCGCTTTCCCCACCCCATTACTCCCCCCAGGCGTTCACGCTGAACGAGCCGCAGTACGTGTGGGTGAGTTACGACGGCAGCACTGGCACACTGCAGGTGTTTGTCTCCCCCGGCGCCCCCACCAAGCCCACCGCACCTGTGCTGGTCACGCCAATCGATGTGGCGGCCATGCTGGGAGAGAGGCACGTCTGCTGCTCCTCTGCCTGACCTCCTCACTCTATCTCTGCTCCTTCTCCCCGTCTCTCGCCTTCTTTCTCGACCGTTCCCTCCCTGGCTCCTTCTCACCCCACTTCCCACTCCTCCCCAGGCGTTCACGCTGAACGAGCCGCAGCACGTGTGGGTGAGTTACGACGGCAGCACTGGCACACTCCAGGTGTTTGTGTCCCCCGGCGCCCCCACCAAGCCCACGGCACCTGTGCTGGTCACGCCAATCGATGTGGCGGCCGTGCTGGGCGGCACGGCAGGACTGTCGGTGTCGGTGGGGTTCACAGGCGCGTCGTGGTGGACGTGGGTGGACGACTTGGAAGACCACATCATCCACTCCCTCTCCTTCCAAGCCGGTAAGAAATACATTTTTTGATCTAGTATGATACACACTACGTATTATATCTTATACTTTGAAATATTATATTATATTATATTATATTATATTATATTATATTATATTATATTATATTATATTATATTATATTATATTATATTATATTATATCATATCATATCATATCATATCATATTATATTATATAATATTATATTATATTATATTAAGTTACATTGTAATGCATTATACTACATCATATATGGTACTATACTATTCTTTTACTATACTATACTATACTATATTATACTATATTATATTATATTCTAATATATTCAATTACATATACTACATGTAAAAACAGAGTCTAATTTCGAGGCCTCTCAGAAGATGTTTGCTACTCATATCTCCATGTTTGTTAACCATCCCTCAGGTATTTAGTGTGACAGTGGCTCTTTGATTAACTCCCCTCTCTCCTTCCCTTCTCTATCCCCCCCCCTCCCCCCAGTCCCCCCTGGGTCCCAGCAGTCGCTGCCGCCCTCCCCTGCGCCCACCACGTGCCACCTCGTCCCCTCCAACACGCGTCTCACCTGCTCGGGCTTTGCGGGCCGTTCAGCCTTCCGCCTCAACAGCTACGCCCACGTGGGGCCCGCCCCCTCCTTCCCGCTCGTCCTCGACACCGGCGGCACCGCTGGCAGCGCGCTCACCCTCGCTGACCTGGCGCTCTCGCTGGATTCGTCCACGTCAGCAGTGACTGCAGGAGGAGGAGCTGGAAAAGCAGCCGCATCATCAGCAGGGAAAACATCAGCAGCAGCAGCAATGGCAGCGGTGGCGTTTGAGGCAGCGTTCTCATTCTCAGTCTTAACAGAGACGTCATATGGCTACCGGGGAAGCAGAGGGCTGGCGTTTGTTGTTACCAGCGGGGACAAGACTGCATGTGGTTCAAGCAAGATGGGGTGAGTGGAGCGATATGGGATCAGGTGGATAGGGGGTGGGTCTAGCCTGCCTCGGGGGGGCTGATTTGGGTCGACATGGGTTCAAGTTTGCGGATGGGGCAGTAGCGCTTGCGTTCTCGGTGTGGACGGAGACGTCGTATGGCTACCGGGGAAGCAGAGGGCTGGCGTGTCTTGTCACCAGCGGTGACAAGACTGCGTGTGGTTCGAGTGCCATGGGGGTGGAGCTATATGAGGTGACGTGGGTTGAAGTGTGCCTTCTCGGTGTGGACGGGGACGTCGTATGGCTACCGGGGCAGCAGAGGGCTGACGTTTGTTGTTACCAGCGGTGATAAGAATGCTTGCGGTTCGAGTGCTATGGGGTGAGTTAAGGTTGCTGGAATGAGGTTTGACAATGCGACATGAGGGGAGTGAGTCAGGGAGGGGCAGCAGAGCGCTGGCGTTTGTTGTTACCAGCGGTGATAAGACTGCTTGCGGTTCGAGTGCTATGGGGTGAGTGGGTCGTGTAGTCAAGGAATCACATGCGAAAATATAAGGGGAAAAAATACTCATTTCACAGCCTCCAGTGAGGGTGTTAAGAGTCCTTCCTGCCACCCAATTACGCTTCACATTCCTGCATTTCTCCTCCCTCACCCTTCTCACCCCCTCCTACCCCACCCCAATCTCAGAGCCATAGGGTACGGGGGAGCAGCACCAGGGGCGTTCAATGGGAGTGTGGCATTTGAGCTTCAATCAGGGCCACCTCATGTGTGGCTCGCTCCCTATCTGCCCTTCTCACCCCCTCCTACCCCACCCCAATCTCAGAGCCATAGGGTACGGGGGAGCAGCACCAGGGGCGTTCAACGGGAGTGTGGCAGTGGAACTGCGGTCGGGGCCCACCTCGTGTGTGGCTGTGGTGGTGAACGGCATGGCTTCAGGCGACAACTGCGCTGCTGCTGACCAGATGACCGGCCTCACAGGCGATCAGGTCGGTACAGTGCGGTGAAGTGCGGTTCAGTGCGGTGAAAGGCAGTTGAGTGCAGCCCATACCATACAGCAATGAGACGATGTTTTGCGGAGCGAATCACTGTTGAGCGCACATAGGTGGCGTAAAACAACCCGTCTTAAGTGGCCGCAGAACCCACCCTGTTCCCCAGTGTGTATAAAATAGCTCGTGCACTGTCCCACTGTCCTTCTCGTGCAGCAAATAGCTCTTGACGAGGTGCAGCACGCGTGGGTGGCATACGACGGCACATCCCAGTCGCTGGAGGTCTATCTGGGCGGCAGCGACGGCATAAAGCCCGAGGAGCCGGTGCTAAGGGCGGCGCTGGATCTTGTGGCTGTCATTGGTGCCACGTCAGCGTCTGTGGGCTTCACAGCTGGCACGTGGTGGTGGGGATGTGGCGACACGGATGACCACCACCTCATCCACTCCTTCACCTTCAACACCGGTGAGCCGACGATAGTTTTCATATGCTAACGACTTATGTAAAAAGATGTTGACTGTTGACTTGCGTCTGTTCAAAAGTCAACACAGGTGACTTTCAGCTTATCCACTCCTTCTCCTTCAACACCGGTGAGGCGACAATAATTTCGTATGCTAACGACTTTCGTCAAAAGACGTTGACTTTTGAGTCTGTTCAATAGTCTACACAGACGAACACCACCTCATCCACTCCTTCTCCTGCAACACCAGTAAGCCAGCTGGAAAATATCCTTAGAATGCCCAGCGGGTAGGTAGGATACGCTTGCCTAAGAAGTTAGCGCTTCATTTGTACTTTTTGGTATATTCTGCAGCTCTTCTTCCCTTTCCATCCCCCAATGCCCATCTCCCAGTGGCCCCCGGGTTCCTGCCAGGAGCGCAGCCCACACGAAAGCCCACGTGCGATACCACCGCCTCCTCCCTGCACTGCGTTGGTTTCGCCGGCAGTACCACCCCCTTTGACCTCAACGGCTACGCCCAGCTGGGCCCGGCGCCGCTCTTCCCGCTCCATCAGGTTTCTGAGAGCTTTTTTTCTCAGGCGTCTTGCTGTTTTCTTCTTTCGCCCCCCACCCACCCTCCCCTACAGTCTCCCCCGGGTTCCTGCCAGGAGCGCAGCCCACACCAACGCCCACCTGTGAAACCACCGCCTCCTCCCTGCACTGCATTGGTTTCGCGGGCACCACCCCCTTTGACCTCAACGGCTACGCCCAGCTGGGCCCGGCGCCGCTCTTCCCGCTCTGTTGAGGTTGCTGAGAGCTCTTCTCAAGCTTCAGGCATCAACATCTTGCTGTTGCTTTCCTTGTCCTGCCACCCTCCCCTCCCCCTTTCCCTCCAGTCGCCCCCGGGTTCCTGCCAGGAGCGCAGCCCACAACAACACCCACCTGCCAGGCCACCGCCTCCGCCCTGCACTGCACTGGCTTTGCAGGTTCCTCCTCACCCTTTGACCTCAACGGCTACGCCCAGCTGGGCCCGGCGCCGCTCTTCCCGCTGTGGCTCGACTCGTACGATTCGGTCGGCTCTGCTCTCTCCCTCGCGCCCCTCTCCCTCCTCACCGCCTCCAACCGCTCCACCGCCTTTGAAGCCGCCTTCTCCTTCACCTTCCTTGCTGACGCGTGCGCTGCTAACGTGGTGAGTTACGCACTCTTTCACTCTGCGCTCTGCGTCATGCACGCTTGCACGCTGCACCCTTCTCACCTCAAAAGCCACCTTCTCCTCTTGCACCTTCCTCGCTAAAGCCTGTGCTGCTAACATTGTGAGTTGCTGCTCTCTTTTCAGTCACTCACTCTTGCACTCTTATGCTCTGCACTCTGCGATTCGCACCCCTCTCGCATTTGAAGCCGCCTTCTCCTTTACCTTCCTAGCTGACGCCTGCGGTGCCAATGTCGTGTGAGTCATTCTTTAGAATTTTCTGATGCAGGCTGAAGCCCGGCTTTCCTTGAACCAGGGGCTGCCATTTTTTAACCTCCAGAACTAACTCTTGCCGCTTCAGGAGCCTCAAAACTAGAATCCATCTCGTTGAAAGGCCGCTGTACATGGCTTTTAGCAGTTAATGAGGCGTCTTCAAAAGAATCGCCTTGCCTGAACTGACATCCCCACTGACACCCATCCTCATTTCACCACCAAGCTGACTTCTAAATGACCAGAAAAGGCAAGGCACCTCTTGTTTTGAGGCGCCTCAAAACAAATCACCTCTTGCCCGTGTTACAACCCCTCTGGTTTGCCTCGGTCCTTCCATGCTTCCCGTTCCCTTCTTTCCGTCCCTTTTTTTTTCAGAGCGTGGGCCGCAGCTTTGCCTTTGTGCTGACCAATGGCCCGGCAACAGCCCTCGGGAAGGCAAATGCGAGGTGAGTGGGAGAGCAGACACAATGGGAGAGAAAAAAAACACACACACTCAATTTTAAGGCCAGGCAAAACGGGCTTTGCCATTGTACTCATCAGCGGCCCGGCAACAGCCCTCGGGAAGACAAACGCGAGGTGAGCGGGAATGCAACCGCAACCTGAGAAAACAAAATGACAAGAAGATGAAAAGGAAATGCAAGACCGCAACGGGAAACGCCAACAGCCCGAGAACAGACCTGGGAAACGCAAATGCGAGGTGTGCAAGGGAAACGTATGGCGTGGTAGAACCTGCTCGCATCGCCTTAAAGGATTCTCAAGCCTGATACAAACATGGCTAAAATCTCAGGTCTGGGGGCCCTGCAAGAGAAGGCAGGGAGTGCAGTATGTTCTGTGTCCTGTGCACTGTGCCCTGTGCCCTGTGCCCTGTCCCTTGTATAGGTGTTTCAGTCTCCCTTCCTCCTCTCAACTTCGCCTTATTTTTCCCTCGCAGCTTACTCGGGTACGGCTCAGGCAATGGGACGTTCGTCAAGAGCTTAGCAGTGGAGTTCCGCCTGTGCCCGTGTGGTCTAGCAACCTCCGTCCGCAATCTCCCTGTTTGCCTTCTCCATCCCATCTCTCCCCTATCTCTTCCTTATCTCTCCCCATGCAGCTCCCTTGGGTATGGCTCAGCCAATGGGACGTTCGCCAGGAGCGTAGCAGTGGAGTTTCGCCTGTGCCCCGTACCCTGTATAGCCGTCTCCTCTAAGGGAGTCGTGGCGGGAGACGGCTGTGCTAATGCTGAGTATGGCGTGACACTTTCAGATCCTGAGGTGCGTTGCTTCCCTCAGGCATGCATGTAATGAAAAGGTTTAAGACGTCCCAGAACCCAAGTTTTATCACGACGTTTCCCCTCAGGCTTGCATGTAAAGAAAAGAGGGTAACACTCACCCAGCATTGGCAGTATGCATGCTACGCGAACAAATTAAATCGCCACCGCATCTCAACAACCCCACCCTCGCCCACAACCCACAACATGACTTTTGAGTCGACTCAAAAGTAACACTCACCCAGCATTGGCAGTATGCATGCTACGTGAACAAATTAAATCACCACCGCATCTCAACCAACCCCACCCTCGCCCACAACCCACAACATCCCTCTCCAGGCCTTCCCTCTCAGCACCCAGCAGCGCGCTTGGGTGACTTACCACGGACCTTCCCAGGCGCTCTGCGTGTTCCTCGGTGGAGATTTCTAGTCTAGGTTAAGACAACGTCCCAACGCCCCCCTCTTTCCACTCTCTCTCTCCTTTGCCTCTCCCCTCCCACTGCCAGGCCTTCCCTCTCAACACCCAGCAGCGCGCTTGGGTGACTTATCACGGACCTTCCCACACGCTCTCTGTGTTCCTCGGTGGAGCTTTCTAGGTCAATCCAGGTGCCTTAATGCGCGCATTGCCCATCTATCTCTTTCGTCTCTCCCATCTCCACTCCTCCCTTCCCTTCCTTCAGGCATTTCCTCTCAACACCCAGCAGCGCGCTTGGGTGACTTACCACGGACCTTCCCAGACGCTCAGTGTGTTCCTCGGTGGAGCTTCCTCTGCTTCTGCTTCTGCCTCCTCTGCCACTTCTTCTATCAATTCCACTACCTCCTCTGCTTCTGCTCAAACTGCTGCCTCTTCTGCCACTTCCTCTGATTCATCATCGTCGGCTTTCTCGAATCTTGACACGTCTCAAAACTTTGCCACATCTGCCACTTCCTCTGATTCATCATCGGCTTCCTCAAATTCCTCCACTTCCTCCACGTCACCGCCGGTCAAGCCAGCTGTACCAGTGCTCACTGCCCACGTGGACATCCCAGCCATCCTCGGCGCCACGTCAGCGTCCTTCGGCTTCACAGCTGGCACGTGGTGGTGGCAGTGGGGCGCGAACGACCGCCACATCATCCATGACCTGGCGTTTGTGGGAAGTTGGTGCGGGGGGGGTGAAGCCTTGAAAGGGTTATATGGAATTCTTGGGTCCTGTGCACGTGACGTGCTATCTGGTGGTGTGCTGTCGTGAAAGCATGACTCATGAGGTGGTGGTGGTGGTGTGGCGTTAACGAGTGCAATCATGTCCTGGTGTGGAGCTGAGGGCGCGGCCGACGGCGTGTGTGGCGGTGGTGGTGGGCGGGCAGGAGGCTGGGCGTTAACGAGTGACACACCATCATGTCCTGGCGTTTGTGGGGCGTAGGTGGGGATTGCTTGGGCCATTTGACACAGGTAACGGGCGAATCTGTGTGGTGTGGGCAGTAAGGCGTGCTTGGATGTCCGTGCATATGGTGTGCTATCGAGCCAGCATGACCCTTGTTGTGGTGGCAGTGGGGTGCAAACGAGTGACACATCATTCATGACCTGTCCTGGTGTTTGTGCGACGTAGATGGGTCCTGGTGTTTGCTTCCTGAAATTTAACCTTTGTGGAGAGTAATGTCTTCTCTAGACGTCTTGAGAAAAAAAAAAAGCGTTTCTCTCCTTCTCCCACAACCACTCATTTCTCAGGAACCTTTTTTGAGACTTCCAACGTGACTGCGGTGCGGAGCTCACAGCCCGGTTCGACCCGGCGAATCAGACGGAGCTGGCTGTTGCCGTGTCAACCACTCAACCTAGCAGCGCCACCCATCCCCCCCTCTTTCCCCCCACAACCACCCATATCTCAGGAACCTTCTTTGAGACTTCCAACGTGACTGCGGAGCTCACAGCCCGGTTCGACCCGGCTAATCAGACAGAGCTGGCTGCTTTTTCCGTGTCAACCACTCCACCCAACAGCACCACAGCGAGCAGCAGCAACAGCAGCACTTCAACCACGATTAGCACTCCTATCACCACCAGTAGTAGCAGCAGCGCATCTGTCTCCCTTGCATCGCTCACACCTGATTCAGCACCGCCCACTGTGGAGCTACAACTTACCCCACAAGGCAGCAGCAGCGCGCTTTCAGGGGATCCTTCTGGTTCTCTGAGGCGGCTTGTAACTCAGCATCAGATCACTGCTTCTCGCCCCGCTGTGAGTGAGCACTGGGCACAACATGGTCTATACTCAACTGTTTTCTTGCAGCTGTTTCTTTAGGATTCTTAAAACACCCGCAGCAGCACAAGAATCTCAAATCCCTCATTTAGTTCACTCACAAGTCAGTCAGCACCCGGATCCAACACCAACCACTGTGGGCCAATGGGCCAATGGCTCGCCCGCCCCATGGGTCTTATTTACCTTATCCCCTTGACCCTCCCTCTTTCCGCACACCTTCTTGATCTTTGCAGGTGCGAGCACATGTGTACGGGTCCAACATGGAGGATCGCCCCATGGGTGTTTGACTGGCCACTCACAAGCGCTTTACTCCACCTGTCCCCCCTCATCTCTCTCCCCTTCTGTTCCCTCCCCCCATTCTCCGCAGGTGGGGGCACACGTGTACGTCTCCAACAAGGAGGATCGCCCCATGGGACACGTAGCATAGCACAAGGCCACCTTAGTTCGCCGATGGAAGGCCTAATGCACGCATGTGTGTTGGCACATCAGCATGGGCACACACCTTCACGGAGAATGATGGTGGCTGACGCTCATTGCCCAGCACGGTGTTGCTGATGCTGAAACTCATCGCTGTGTTGCTTGTGTCACCACTTGTGGTTGTAGCGGCCACATCAGCAGTGGTGGTCCCACCAGTGGTGGTGGTGCCGGTAGTAGTGGTGGTGGTGCTGGCAGTGGGCAGCAGTGACTGTGTGGCGACAGCAGCAGCCGTGCCGTGGCCCGAGTTGTAAAAGAGTGCTGCAAGTGTGACTGGCACTGGTGCCTCCACCTGTGAGGTTTTGAGGAGAGGAGGGAGGAAGGGCATAGGATGGGGGGCGTGAGTCTTGAGACGACTCAAAAGAAGTTCTGAGACGTTTCAAAACTGGATAGAGGGCATGACTGGCAGGCGCTGGTGCCTCCACCTCTTAGGGGCGGGAGGGAGGTCAGGAGAAAGAGGATGAGGGGACTTTTGAGTCGACCCAAAAGTCACCTCGCATGCACTTTTTCCTCCACCTCTGCTTAGGGGAGGGAGGGAGAAAAGGAGAAAGAGGAAGCACAGCACGCAGAGGGAAGAAGGTGCAAGGTCACTCCTCCTATGAACACGCGTCGCTCTCCCATGCCCAGTCCCCCGTCTACATTCCGCCACACTGCTGAGGCGTGGGATGTAGACAAGAGACTTCTGAGGCGCCTCAAAAGACTTCTGAGGCGCCTCAAGAGAGGAAAGGAGAAAGAGGATGAACAGCACACGGGGGGAAGAAGGTGTAGGGTCGCTTCTATAAATATGTGTTACTCTCCCATGCTAATTCCCTCTCTTCATTCCCCCACACTCACCTGAGGAGTGGTGAGGTCGTCTCCTTGCGCGAGCCGGGGCACAAAGTAATGCACTTGCAACTTGGGAGGAGGAGCCACTGAGACTCGCACACTATCATACCCACTCCCTGATGCTCACCCCCCCCCATGCGCACCTTAGGGGTGGTGAGGTCGTCGCCTTGCACGTGGCAGGGCACAAAGTAGTGCACTTGCAGCTTGGGAGGAGGGGCCACCGTCGCTCGCACACTCTTCTTAAACACCACTGCTGCTGCCACTGGTTCAGATACTGGTGCTGATGATGGTTCTGGTGGTAATGGTTCTGCTGACACTCACACGCTCACTCTCCCCTATGCTCACCTTAGGAGTGGTTGGGTCGTCGCCTTGCACGTGGCGGGGTACAAAGTAGAGCACTTGCAGCTTGGGTGAAGGGGCCACCGTCACTCGCACATTTGTTAGCTCCACTCTTCACCACCACTGCTGCTGCTGGTACTGCCTCTGCTGGCGGTGGTGCTGTTGATGCTGGTGCTGGTGCTGGTGCTGGTGGTGCTGGTGCAGCAGCAGGTGCTGTTGCTGTTGGTGCCGTTGCTGATGCTGACGTGTCTTGCAGTGTGTACTGTAGACTGCTGCCCAGTTGGAAGTTGGTGGGGGCAGCCTGGGCGACACAGTCAAGCGGCAGAAAGAGCCAATCGATGCTGGCAGAAGCATTTGGGGGAATGGTACCTAGACAGGGAGGGAAAGACACAGAGGTGGACCGGTTATGAGGGTGGGGGTTGAGGTTGGTGGGGGCAGCCTGGGCGACACAGTCAAGCGGCAGTAACAGCCAATCGATGCTGGCAGAAGAGTTTGGGGGGATAGTACCTGGAAAAAGAGGGAGGGGAAGGCAGGGCGGTGAGAGGAGGTTGAGATGGGCCCTTCCTTGGACACAGCCGGGGCAGCGCAGTCAAGCGGCAGTGACAGCCAATCAATGCTGGCAGATTCTTTTGGCGGGTTAGGGGAAGACAATTGGGGGTAGCGAGTGGGCGAACGGAGGGTTTGAGATGTTTCAGCATAGAGGCCTCTATGCCTGCCTGATTCACTTGCTAGTGCACCCACCCATGCAGTGCAACTCACTCACCTACACCGCTGACTCATCAGCTCTGCCATCGATCCCCTGCAGCAGCGGGTCCCTGAAGACAAGCAGAGGGAGGGAGGGGCATGTGGTGCATGCATGTGACAGTCAGTCAACCCACCTGCACCTGTTCAACTCTCACCTGCACCGCTGACGTCGTCAATCCCCTGCAGCAGCGGGTCGCTGAAGACGAAGCAGCGCGAGGCGTATGTGGAGCATGTGGTGCGTGGCTGATGTGCTGTGCTCCCTATAGCAACATTCACATCACCTCACCTGCACCGCTCACGTCGTCAATCCCCTGCAGCAGCGGGTCGCTGAAGACGAAGCAGCGGGAGGCGTGTGTGTGTGTGGTACATGCACGTGAGAATCAAGCTCACCCAACGTGTGCCAGTCACACCACTCTCACCTGCACCGCTGACATCGTCAATCCCCTGCAGCAGCGGGTCGCTGAAGAAGAAGCAGCGGGAGGCGTCGGTGCCGTTGGGGTAGGTGATGCGCGCTGCCACTGCCACGTCAGCCATGGGGCGATCCTCCTCGTTGGACACGTACACGTGTGCTCGCACCTGCACCAAGGGAGGGGGAGGGGAAGATGGGATTAAGGCACACATACTACGAGTGAGTTTCAGCATCAGCAACACCGTGCTGGGCAATGAGCGTCAGCCAGCATCATTCTCCGTGAAGGTGCGTGTGGCCCTGCTGATGTCGAAAGAATTCTCTATATGAACACACACGTGCACACACACACACACACACACACACACACACACACACACACACACACATCTCACATCTCACTTGCCTATCCCTATCCTGCCTTGTCCCTTCGTCATCTAGCCCATCATCGCCTCACTCCCCCTCTCTTCTCCTCACCACTTCCTCCTGCCCCAAAGTGGGCAGCATAGCCCCTTCTGCTACAGTCATGACACGCTGGACCATAAACACCGTCCGCTTTTCCCTCCTTTCCACCTCTCTCCCCTCTCTCCCCTACCCCCCTCCTCCAGGTGGGTAGCATCCCCCCCCCCCCCCGCAGCTACAGCCATGGTGCGCTGGACCATAGAGGCCAGCCTCTTTTTCCCATTTCTCACCCTCTCTCCTTTCCTCCATTGCTCTCTCCAATCCCTCCCCTTCCGTCCGTCTCCCCCAGGTGGGCAGCATCCCCCCCGCAGCTACAGCCATGGTGCGCTGGACCATAGAGGCCAGCCTTACAGGCACATTCGATACAGTCACCACCACCACCACCAAATCCAACACCACCAGCACCACCACCATCAATACCACCACTGCCACCTCCTCCACCTCCTCCTCCCCTCTCACCGGCCTCTCCCCCATTCTCGACTCGGTCCACACTCACAACCTCGTGCATGTCGTCTATCTGTCCGATGCCTCCTCAGGTAAACCCCGCCTCAGGTGAATCCCGCCTCAGGTGAATCCCGCCTCAGGTAAACTCCGGTGAATCCCGCCTCAGGTGAATCCCGCCTCAGGTAAACCCCAGTGAATCCCGCCTCAGGTGAATCCCTCCTCAGGTGAATCCCGCCTCAGGTAAACCCCAGTGAATCCCGCCTCAGGTGAATCCCGCCTCAGATAGACCCTCCTATCAGGTACTTGAGTCGCTCTACATCCACAACACCGCCCCGCCCCATCCCACCCATGCTTCCTCTGCCTGTTCATGCAGGCAACGGCTTTCCGGGTTTCTTGGTGGGCGACAATGGGGACGAAAAGAAACTGAACCATTGCCTTGCCCCCTCCCCCGTCGCACCCATTCCATCCCACCCCTTCAGACGACGGGCTGCCGGATTTCCTGGTGGACGATGAACCATTGTCATATCTCTTCCCACCCATCTCCACCCATCCCATCCACTGTTCCACGTCTTAATCCACCTCACCCTTTCATGCAGACGACGGGTTGCCGGATTTCCTGGTGGACGATGATGGGGACGAGCAGCCAGAGGCCATCTACAGCAGCGCTGGTAACCGCTGCCATTCCCCCACCCATCCAACAAATCCCATCCCACCCATCTCCCCGTCTACCTTCAGACGGCGGCCTACCGGATTTCCTGGTGGACGATGATGGGGACGAGCAGCCAGAGGCCATCTACAGCAGCGCTGGTAACCGCTGCCATTCCCCCACCCATCCAACAAATCCCATCCCACCCATCTCCCCGTCTACCTTCAGACGGCGGCCTACCGGATTTCCTGGTGGACGATGATGGGGACGAGCAGCCAGAGGCCATCTACAGCAGCGCTGGTAACCGCTGCCATTCCCCCACCCATCCAACAAATCCCATCCCACCCATCTCCCCGTCTACCTTCAGACGGCGGCCTACCGGATTTCCTGGTGGACGATGATGGGGACGAGCAGCCAGAGGCCATCTACAGCAGCGCTGGTAACCGCTGCCATTCCCCCACCCATCCAACAAATCCCATCCCACCCATCTCCCCGTCTACCTTCAGACGGCGGCCTACCGGATTTCCTGGTGGACGATGATGGGGACGAGCAGCCAGAGGCCATCTACAGCAGCGCTGGTAACCGCTGCCATTCCCCCACCCATCCAACAAATCCCATCCCACCCATCTCCCCGTCTACCTTCAGACGGCGGCCTACCGGATTTCCTGGTGGACGATGATGGGGACGAGCAGCCAGAGGCCATCTGCAGCGGTGCTCGTAACCAGTTCTATTCCCCACCTATCCCATCCCACCCTACCTGTAGATGATGGTCTCCCGGATTTCCTGGTGGACGATGATGAGGACGAGCAGCCGGAGGCCATCTACAGCAGCGCTGGTAACCGCGTGCTGCCCGTAACCGCTGTGCCCTCCGGTGCTCTCACGCTCGGCCGCCCGCTCTTCACCAGCGAAACCCGCGCCAAGCTCACCGTGGCTTTGAATTGGTGAGCCAAGAAGTGAAGTGTAGAGTGGACTTTTGAGTCGACTCAAAAGTGAAGTGTAGAGTGGTTGTTGGCCGTAAATAGTGACGGCACTGTGAGAGCTCTTCACCAGCAAGACTCGCGCCAAGCTCACTGTGGCTGTGAACTGGTGAGTGAAGCAGTGAAGGGATGAACGGCTGTCAATTCTAACCAGTGAGTGCTTGTCCTGCAAATTGTTGGGCTCAACAGCAGGAAAGAAAGAAAGAACGAAAGAAGAAAAATACACCACCACCGAGAACATCAAAACCGTGGGTCGTGGCTGGCCATCATAGGGAGTTTTTCCATTCCGTTGTCAAGAACTCTCCGTGGGTTCTGCTCATGGTGTTATGATCCCAACTTCAGCAACCTTTCCTCATCCATCCAACCCCCCTGCCATGTAACTTTCCGTGCTCGCAGGACTGCCCTCACATCACCAGCAGCAGCAGCAGGGGGGTGGGCGCACATGGCCTTCACCTCGCAGCTGCCATCGCACTGCTGGAATCTCACCGCTGCTCTCCGATCCAACGGCTCTCAGCTGCCCGTGCCCTTCAACGCCTGGTCCTGCTTCTCCTCCTCCCCCGCTGGCACTGCTCTCACTGCCACCGCTGCTCTCACTGCCACCGCTGCTCTCACTGCCACCGCTGCTGCCCGTGTTTGAAGAAGTGTTGTGAGACGTCTCAAAACACTTCTTCAAACAGCAGGCCGTGCGGAAACTAAACCCCTCTCGTCACATCTTGAGACGTCTCAAAACACTTCTTCAAACACGTAGCTGCGTGTGTGGGAGGGGAGGCAGGAAGTATGAGCTGTTGTGAGACGTCTCAAAACACTCCCCCGCTGCTCTCACTGCGACCGCTGCTGCCCCTGCCTCTGCCACTTCAACCACCACTGCCCCTGCTTCTTCCACAGCTGCTTCGCCTGCTACGGACACCACACACATTCTCGACTTTGTCTCCTCCCCCTCCTACACTCTCTTCTTCTCTTTCTTTGATCAGACCCTCTTCTTCCCCCACCTCTCCCCTTGCTTCCAGGCTGTCATGCCTCCCCCTCCCTCACCCCCCAACCCTCCCCCTTCCCCTCCCCCTCGCCCGCCCCCCCCCCCCCTCCAAATCCCCCAAGGCCTCCCCCGAACCCCTCTCCTCCCCCCCGCCCCCCCCCAAGCCCCCCCAGGCCCCCATCTCCCCCACCCCGACCTCCCCCGAATCCCCCCAAGCCTCCCCCTCCGCCGTCCCCTCCCCCACGCCCTCCCCCTCGCCCTCCTTCCCCTCCTCCCATGGTTTCAACTGGTAGTAAGCCCCCTCCCTCCTCTCCCCCTAAGCCTCCCCCTTCCCCTCCCCCTAAGCCCCCTCCCTCCTCTCCCCCTAAACCTTCCCCCTCCCCTCCCCCTAAGCCTCCCCCCTCCCCTCCCCCTAGACCACCCCCAAGCCCCCCATCACTGAAAACACTCGCTAGCCCTCCCCCACCAAGACCCCCTCCCTCTGCTCCCCCCAAACCACCTCCCTCTCCTCCCCCCAAACCCCCGCCCTCTCCTCCCCCCAAGCCTCCTCCGTCCCCTCCTCCCAGCCCACCTCCTAAAAGGCCCAGCCCCCCACCACCAAAACCCCTTCCTCCCAGGCCCCCACCGCCCAAGCGCCGATACCCACCACCCCCCAGAAAGCGATGGCTCTTCTCCTTCCAGAGGTGAACCTGAAAGGCGAGCTACACATATGTTCCACCTACCGTAGCTCCAATAGATATCTGGCGATAAACCGAAATGGCAAGTGGAAGTACTTGAAAAGGGGGTGCTTGTTTTGTCCTCTTGTAATTCTTAGTTAAAGTCAAAGTGGAACACGTACGGTATCTATTGCCATATGCGAGTGATCTCAATCTAAACCTAAAATCAACCAAACATATGGTAGAAAAAGTGCCAGGGCGACCACACTTGACTTGAATAACTGCAGATGCAAAACAGAACTCAGAAAGGCTGCACAAGTCCATGCTACATGGCATGGCAGCCCTCAAACCCATCAAACCCCAATTGTTTGGTTACCGTATCGTGCCTGCTTCACTAATGTTATCATTACGGTTTTATCCCTATCTATATAGACTAAAATACACGATAAAACGCATTTTCGGTCTTCTACCGAAGCATCACCAACGCGGATGAAACGCGTAACTTTGACCGAAAGGTCAGGCTGACACGGACCAGTACGAGCCTTCGCCAGAAACTATCGTACGAGCTGGTTGCGTCAGGCGCAAAGCCTAGCTGCTCCTACCTATCCCATCGCGTCGCGCCACACCCGCCGCTCTGCGAGCATAGTGTAGCGCGCGCCAGCTCACGCTATCGTACCAATGAATGGTGTCTTAGGGAGTTACAGTACTGCAATGCTACAGTACGCCTCTGCTTTCTATGGCTTTCTATGGCAGTACTCCGAGGTCTTCCTTGCGCGCCGAGCCATCCGACCAGCCAATTTCCAAGGAAAATACCGCGCACAACGTTCACGTACGTCACGGGGAGGCAGAACGGAGCCACTCCGCTCGTCATTTCCCAGGAAAGTTCCTGCGCCGGAAGAACCTCCCCTTCACCCCCGACTCGGAATCCTCAGCGCGTGCGCAAATCCTCAGCGCGGCCCAATGCGGCGCGCCGGACGTCGTATTCTTACCCTCGCGGAAGACCGGGTCTCCGCGGAATTCTTCTCTCCCGCATCACCTCGAAGAATTTCCGCGGAGT